ATGGTAAAAAGAATGAGCTCACGAAGCTCTCCGTGCACAAACCACACGATCATCACCGACACTAACCAAAAAGGACCAGACCTTCAAATGTCGCATTTATTTCTATTGTCAAAAAAAAAAACATCTCAAGCGATTTTCTTTCCTATATCCACCGAGAGCCCATCCGTCTTCAGACACTCCAATCGCACGATCTTCCCATGGAGCCTCGTTTCCTCTTCGCCCCCGTTACACAATATTATGCGCACACCACATCCGCGTCAACCCTGTCTACATTCGCGTCTCCCTGTGCCTGAGACGTCCCCGGGGTATTCCCCGGTACCACCAACAGACGGCCCCGCCAGTGGTGGGAATGCCCCGTCTTTCTTGGAGTAGACTCAGAGACGCCTCCGCTCTCCGGGCTCTCCCGCGCGGGATTCGAATATCGCATGACGTGGAGAAGCGCAAATATTTGTGCCGTCATTGGATTGCCCATCTGTCCTGAAAAAAAAACAATGCGAACGACAGCAGAAGCTGGCCAATGATACTGCGCATCTCCCCCGGTTTCGCCAGCTCATCTCAAGCCGCATCTGGTAAACAAGAAGCGCAAAACCCATGCTGGTGAGTAGTTTCTCGACACCTGTCTAAAAATTCCAAAAATTGTATGACGTCATCTTTCTTCGTAAGAATGAGTCTGGTGGGAATGAAGGCTTGGCATACAGCTTGCAATGTATAAAGCTGGCAACAAGTATTAGCTCGCCGAAGTTGTGCATGCCTCCCGCCGCTCAGTACGCTTTGTTGCGCCGGGAGAGGTCCTTACTTGCAATTGATACAGCGTTGTAGGGGTTTCTTCCATCTAATACGAAGTTACGATCGGCGACTGAGCACGTATGTAGTGAAAAGAGCATGCATTTAAGAGGCAAACATAGGACTCTACGACGGGAGGGAAGGGCACTTATTCCCAACTTTTCGCCGCGAACCGAACACGTGCCACGCAACGTACTGTGACCTAGGAGTGGGTCAATGGTCACCAAGACCGCCCCAAACACCCAAAATTAAGAAGTCAAAACCCACGCTCCCAGTCTAGTGCATTGATCGTTGCAAAACCTCCGCTTATCGATGTACCAGTCAATATGTTATCCCTTCCAGAGCGTGGTTACCCTTCGTCGGGTAAAAGGTCACCAAAACGTCCAACATTACCAAGATATGGTTGACAAACAACCACATGATTTAAGCCTATCGCACCGATCATCACAAAGCCTTTACCAAACGATGCGTCATAGTCGATATCCTATCGGTTCCAGAACATGGTTACCTTCCGTTAAGCCAAATGTTACCATGAATGAAAAACAAACTCCGGGGTGATTTTGTGCGTTTTCGGTGACCTTACACCCAACCCACTGTTACCATGCTCGAAAACCGAAGCTATCAATTATGACACGTCGATCAGCAAAGGCTCGACCATGGCGCATCGATTGGTAGATCTTGTGACGATCTGTTTAGACGGCTCGGAGCGTGGGGTTGCCTGCTAACTAAGTTCTTGTCGTCCGGGGCGTTTTAAGAGACGTTCCGCCTGATCCAAAAAAACACGTCCTGTAGAAGACACGACGCCGTCTAAAGGGCATCAACTGGTAAAGGTTTTGTGATGGTCGGTCCCATAGGCCAGGAGCATGGGATTGTCCGCAAAATGGTTTTCCGGTTTGGAACTTCAGGTGAGCTTCGACCTGACTTAAGGTCACCGCCAACCGCGGAAGGGTGTGTTATCCACCAAGCGGCATCGAATGGTGAAGGTTTGATGACGATCGGTCCCGTAAGCTCCGAGCATGGGATGTCAACCGGTTTCGTCGGTCGTTGGTCCCGGCCGAACGGGCCGCCTGCGTTAAAACGCCAGCAAACATTCCAGACTTGTGCTTTTCGTCTGACGCGACAGCGTGACACCCAAAAACGCATTCCATTCACGGTCCATCTTTATATGGTCGATAATCTCCAGGTGACATATACCTCCGAATTGGCATCCAGTCGGGCGAGCATCGGAGGAGGACGACGGAGCTTGGCTTTGGCCACTGGCATAAGGTCCGCCATCACGTGACTCTTCATCACCGCGACCACCAGCACACTTCACCGTCCAGTTCGCAACTATCACAGGCCAGTCCGGACTCCACGCGCAGGGTCAGAGCGCGCCGGTGCACAACTTTCAGGACGGACGTATCACTCACGAGCAGCGTTCTTCGGACACTGCGCGAGCCGCCCCACGACGTACCCAGTCGTGCCTCAACTGCCTGTGACGCAACGTGTCGATTCAGCGACTCCAGCCGAGCCAGCTCACAACTCCTCGGAACTGCGAATCACCAGACCGCCCCCGCTCACGACGTTCAACACGATCCACACACCAAGCACCTCCTCCGGTCTAGAAATCTCGGCTACCACACGGTGCCTGCAGGAGTCGGACAGTCTAAAGTCCACGCCGATCACACGCCCCCGAACCGTCGCCTGGCACCGTCTGTCCTCTGTGGCGTCGTGCCCTTGCTTGAACCGACGCGTTCCAACTGTAGCTGGCGCCGTGCCAGCTTTCTGCCCCTCCCTCCTCCCCCGGTGCCAGCGTGTCGTGACGTGTCGGCGCTCGGTGGGGCCGCTGCGCCATGCTGGGCACGGTGAGTCGGCCGCCAAGGACGTCAGAGGCGGCGCTAGGAGCGCGCCACAGGGCGACTGGCTGCGTGCCCGCTGCCGATCAGGCCACGACAGAGATGACGTACCCTGACCAGACGGCGCAAGTAAACCCAGTCTAGGGCCCGTCGATGGAAGGCTTGGTCATACCACTCGCCCCGCTCCTTGCCCAGCCATAGTTGACCATGAGACACTGCCTCTCCCTCACGCCTCGGTTGAAACATTGCGAATGCAAATACGTTTTGGAAACAATTGCGTCAACATTTGCTGACAACCTAAAATCAACATATCATAGATTTCAGAAATATTGCGCATGCTTACGGTTACAATGGATATTTCGTTTGTGTCCATTTCCGTTCAATGCATAAGTTCCTGATCGGTCTGAAGAATAAATAATCCACTCAGCGGTGCATTTTGACAAATTAGACGCTGACGTCCGTTGTAAACTCTTCTTCATCGCAGTGATATCGCTGCTGAGGCGATGTTTTCAACTGATCATGTATCATCGAACACACCGACAAGCAACGCAGGCAGGGAATAGGAATAGGATTTACGAATAATCACCAGCGGCCAGTTCCTCGGAGCCGGATGCCATGTGTGTCATTGGAGCTTTACGACGCGTTCAGCCGCTGGGGTTATATGGCGTCGCCTGCCTTTCACCATGGAGGGAGGGAAGGACGGGCACCACATGAAATCGAACTCCGTATCTTGAGTTCCCGGCCGCGCAGCTCCTTAACCACTACACCATCGGTGTATAATTTTTAAAAGTGTATGTTTACAGTTCTGACGAACTGTTAACGAAACAAAGCTTTTCACAGAACACTGACGACGTATACCTACAAAATACGACTCTATAACAACACGAAGAATAACAACATTCCACATGAAACAGGCGCAAACAATACCGCTTGAGTTTCTCAAGCCCATGAAAAAACGCATGCCAAATGTTGTTTTTGTAAAACTTCAACGCATGTCAGTGAAATCAGCACATCTTCTTGAAACGCAGATTATTGTTCTGCAGCTGGCATTTTGATCATCAAATATTTACGGCATCATTGCAGAAGTGGCGAACAACAGCTACAAAGAACACAAGTTTACTAATCAGGGGTCGCTAAAGGATGGGTAATTTCGAGTACCGACACTGGCCAACTGACTTGAACACTGATTTGTGTTGTTTGCAGACTTCAAAGAATACATTGACACTTGGCGTAATTTGCGCTCGTAATTTCCCCTTAAAAAATGGGCACAGATGAGCCACATGATCTCCTTGCAAAGTGACAGCTCAAACACCGTCTACATATAGTCATTGGACGGAGCAAAAAGCTAACCCCGTCTAGCTCACAGCTGAAAAGTGGTACAGGTTTGCAAAACGGGTTGGCCGGGGGATAAACGCGGAAAACGCCTAAAAAAGGCAAATAAAGGTTTCTCATTGGATATGGCCAACTCTCTTAAGTTGAGGAGGCTAGACACCGCTCCCTCCCCATCCCCCACCCCAACTGATGCGAAACTACACCCCGGCTGGGCAAGTTAACATGCGTAGCTGCTTGTGAGACATGCGCGATGTGACATGCAACGCGATATGCACACTAACCTGCTTAGAATATATATGGAGCTAAGCCCTGCAACCAGTCACATTATCAAATTCGACGCTCTTCACGCAACATTTATCCCCCACAATGAGCCTTTTGATGAACGTTTCATGACATAGGATGTCTCTTTAAAGTTTTCAGTGTCTGGGATTCCAGCTTTCGCCAGGAATATCCCTATGCGACGCTTTACTCGGGCTGCACGTGCACGTCTAGCTGTAATATAAACTATCAACGACTGGACTCCAAAAGCTGACAGGCCCCTGGAAAACTTTGGTAAGTTCAATAGCACGAAGTTCCACTTTCCCCTACTGATTCACGACAGGCACGTGTCCCCCGGTCGGCCGCTCGCTGCACTGCCATACCTGATAACAACATTTCCAGGATGTTTCGGATCCACTCGGTGAATACGCATCACGCCGATTTTAAGCCAGCCTGCAGCCATCTAAGGCGAAAACCAATAAAAATCCAGGCCTAAGGGCGGATACACCATCCCCCTTCGCCGCACCCCTACAATCTCTTTTTATTCTTACGTGTCTGCCTCGGTTGTTCCATCAGATATTCATCTGCACGTTTACCACTGTGTGTAAAATTTTGGTGGGGGGGGGGGGGGGGAGACAAGCGCCCCATCCCTTTTAAAACGCCCCTACAAGCGCCGACACCATTGCTACCATTGGCTCAACGAATCCAGAGATGTGTGGTGACTTCCCGAGCCCACCGGCGAGTAATACTGTCAGGCAGACGACGCCGCGGCGCCGCGGCGCGGTAAGTTACCTCCGGTGTCGGCTGGTCCGATGGAGGACTGTCGAACAGGTCACTGAACTGCCTGAGCACGCCCAGCTCGCCGGACTGAAGCCGACCGGGACTATCGGACTGGGCAGGACCGTCCCAGCCACCCTCGAAGATGTCAGCCATCTCGCGGCTGTTGTCAACCATCCCGTTTTCTGCGGCAATGCGCTGAAAAACTTCCGGCACGAACAGCGGCTCTGTGTCCGTGTCCGTGGAAGACATCGCCGCTACGTTGGATCGCTCAGAGAATGGTGGCTGACTACGGCGTCTCTGATCATCGAAGACGTCACCTGTGACAAGAGCAGAGCACAGAGTAAGGGCGACAGTGGAGGTCAGGATAACCCCCGCGGGGGGGGGGGGGCGCACTTCTAACACATTTGGGCAGACGCAACACCAGCCAATACGAGGTCGCGACGACGCCGACGACGCCGGCGGCATCGCAGCTACCCTCTTCCCCCCCCCCCCCCCCCCCCCCACACGCCGACACCGGGCGCGGGGCAACACAGACACCGACCTGAGGCGATGTTGTCCTCAAAACCACGAGGTCCACCCAGGGGCCGCTAACACCAAACACTTCACGGAGTGAAATGTGATTTTTTTCATTTTTTCCATTTTATTTCAATGTTTCATTTCCAACAAGCGATCAACGAATCTCACGAATGATGCAGCCGTCGCGAGCGACTGTAGTGTGGTGCAAAGCTACCCTGCGCGCAAAAGAGATGCATGTGGTTTAAGGGAGTACTCTGCCTTTGGAATACATTTCAAAAACGTGATCTGGCGAATTTTCGGAGCCTGTCAGTAATATCGATGACAATGGGGAGCGGAAGGACATCACCAACATAATATTATGCGCGAATTAATTGTATCTATTTCCCAGTCAAAATTACGCGGTCACGATTCCAAACTGCTAGCACCATACTTCCTTCCTTTAGTATCCCCATGTGTCCTGTCGTGAATGGACGAAACGTATTTCTAGGTCTTTCCACGACAGCGCACGCAAGACGGCGTTTACCATTGTGAAGTTCATGGCAGTTTTCGATGACTGTTGATTTTGGACACTTATATGTAAATGGCGAAAAAAGGCTTCCAAGATATCAAAACAGCTCCTTTTAACATTCGATGACTTGTTTCCTAAAAAATATTGCGCGATTATTATGGTAGGCCGACATTACAGCTCGCGTCGGAATATTTGCGCAGACAGCCATGGTAAGCTGTGGTTGTTTCATCACTACGCACTATTAATAACACGCTTAAAGGAGTGTTCCACATCTGCATGGAGTTTTGAGCGAAAGAAGCCATTTTGAAGATAATTCGGTGCCGTCCACAGCCCAGGCCTTTGTCAGACCACTCTAGTTTCTGAGCTACGGTCCCTCAAATATGTGCACTTTTTCGTGTAGACTATTTCAAGGTCATTCAGGCATTCATGCCGCCAACATAAGTCATTCAAAACCTGCCACCCCGAAGGCCAGGTGGCGTTCCAGGTTAGGAAGAATATTTTCGTCCAGCCGTTCACATATGGCGTCCGTGAGCACGACTTCCAAATAAAGTAGACGTCAAGCAGCTCTAAATCCTCAATCAATCGAATCGTGCTAATTTGGTTGTTCGATAGTTTGGATCAGAGCCCTTTCGACCAGAGCCAATCATTTCAGAGCTATGGGATGAATGGGAACGAATAACCGCGGAACAGGGCTATATGCACTTAGGGCCAACCGCCAAGTCTGGACCCACGCGACGATCCTTCTACGGGGCGTGCTCTGAGGACCCGATCGGAGTTCCCCTTCAGAGGGCCTCTCCGGCCCCTCACAGATGACCTACGCAGCCCGCTCCGAACGTGCGAACAGTCATTAGAATCAATAGCAAACCAGGAAAGAGGATGTGACAGCTGCACAAAGTTCACATGCTGTGCTACGTCATAATAAAAGGTTGGATATGGTTTCTTCACTAGGCAGTTATTACGGAAATAGGACTTGCGATCGAATAACTTGAGAATCACCCGACAACCGATTATGTTAATGTGAGTAAGCACCTTAAACTCACGGATAAATATGCAGGGACAACACTGGAAAGGGCCAAAACACGAGGACATTACGGTATTTGGCTCAGTAAACACTTCGACCACCGCCATCTCACGGCGAGTGTGAAGTACTACAAGTAATTGCCAGGGTGTCAATTTCGCACGGCTTGTTTGGCAGCACCTCCACGTCATACAAACGTTTCATGACGTAAGCAATCATGCAATGACGGGCATATTTATAAAAAGAGACGTTTTGTTGTCTGCAGCAGTCTTCTCCACTTACAAGCGTGCCAATAGCCATAAGTAAGTTCTTTTCATCATATTTGATGCTTACTTCAATACTTTCAAATGTGCATTCCATTAAACAGCTAAGAAATAATTGTGTTTTTGTACCCATTTAGTCTCACTGCAGCCAATAAAATATTCTATGGCTAATTACATGCTGCGCTTTCGTCAAACCCTATCCCCTGAAAACTCTATCCCTGTGTCTGTACTCGCCCCCCACTAAACCCATGCGAAACATAGACTTATAAGTAACGTCTAGGGCCCTAGAATATGCCACCAAACACGCAAACATCAGTCATTGGTGCCGTCGGCTCCCCAAACGGCGAGAATGGGCAAGACATCCCTTTGCCTTTGCAGGACTTATAATTGTGTTCTCAAAGCACTCCAGAAAAAGGTCCGTCCTAAAGCCTCGATGACCACGCCCAACTTACGACCCAATGCAGAGCAAGTGTTTGCGCGTTCGTAAAAAGAACGCACTGAATGTTGTATACACTTAACGCCGAATCAGACGTCCACACCGCCAAGCGTTGAGCGGCTGCAGAGTGACTACATGCGCACAGAGATGGCGCCACTTCCTGCGCGGGCTGCACGAACCCGAGCGACCCGGCAGATGGCGCCAAGACTGTCCGACGGTGCGGGGCAGTCAGAGGCAGGGCGCGCCTGGCTCACAGCCGAGTGCACTGGGCACCAGCACCTACGCCAACCGAAAACACTTCTAAATTACGTAAGCTGTTCAGTACATTAGCGAGGAACTACTACTGCTACCTTGAAAAGCTTCTACTTTTGCTCCTCCTGGAACAAAGACATTCAGATCCCAAAATATATCATCAAATCCCCAGCAGAAATATCGCCAGCTTTACGCCTTGACTTATGCAGTGATGTCATGGAATCAGGCCCTGTCATGAAAAAATGCCACTGCCACGTGCTGGTCCCCCAAGGTCCGAGCTAAACGTAACACCTAGAACACCCCTTATGGCTTACAGTCTAAAAAACCTCCTCGAAAACACGACAAATCCCATCCTTATTTCATCCACTACAACAAAGCCTTACCACTTCCGCTTTTTCACTCCAATTTCAATGCTTAAGATTGTTTCCTTCCTCAGTCTTTCGGTTGTTCAAAATGCAAGTGCCTTTGGGCATCCCGTTTTTTTGTTGTGCACGCATACATAGTTGCAGCATCTCCACCTTATTCATGCGACTTTCTCTTTTTGTGTCGCGACTTACTTTATTTTAGCACGCGCGCTGCCGCAGAAAAAGCACTAGCACAACCGTGCGCCTGATATGTGTGGCAGTGTTACGTACGGATGGATGGTAAATACTCTACTGTAGTATTCTTGCTTAGCATATCTCACTGCTTCCGCCCCTTTAACATGGACGCACGTATTCGCTCTACGCATGGCGCTCTCCCGCTCCCGAAACAGATATCATGCCAGTGAAAATTGTTATCCAAACGCCAGATGGCACCGCAATTATAGAAACCAGGGCCGTCATTTGGCCTGGTATGGACCAGAGCACTTTCCACCGGCCCCGACCGTTTCAGGCCATATGAGACTGCTGCAGGCCAACTGCTATCCGATTTGTCTCTCCTGACCAACAAGCAAGCGTGCCCGACCCTGAGCAAGGAACTCATGGTTGGACTGAATGTTAGGGTTCACAACCATTTACCAGCGGGACGAAAAACTGACGAAATAGACTTAGACCGGCACAAAGGCAGGCGCACCAGTATTTTTCACACAGAGCTCATCCAAGTAACACCGCCTGTGTCGACGGGGTCCTGTTTTCCTGCAATGCCTTCCTCAGCTCACTGAGCGATGCACTACGTCCAGCATCGCTTGTCCCTGGCGACAGCCCGTCCGCTTCCTTCCATTACCCAGAAATGATTCCCTCCTGAGTGGGAAGGGAAAGGATAGAAGCCACTAGGTGGAATGGACTGCCTTTCCCAGTCGACAAGGTCGGTATCAGCACGTGGTGTTACGAGTGGAGCAGCCCGTGAGGCCCCGATTGTTACAGCTCCATTCTGACGCGTGACATAGCCGCCCTCCTTCACTGGACGGGCGGGCCGCAAACCTGATCTTCCATAACCTGTTCCTTAATTTACTCACGGACTTGCATAACATTGTGCCCTCAAATTCCAAGGGGCATCAACATCCATCACCGACTGCAGCTTCCCACGCTTTTTGTTTCACCGAGCTGAGTTGGAGTAATACGAAGACTTAATAATACCAATATTAATATGCGTCAATAAGACTTGCGTAACCCCAACACGCGCCAGATCCCTAAGGGGTATCACCACTCACCATCGACAGCAGCTTCCCGTCCATATGGTTTAATCGAGCCGGGTTTGAGCAATATTCAGTGGAAGAAAGAGCCACACACCGTATGGGGCGCCGTGTTGTGGCTGGAAGCGAGCAGCCGCGGGTTCGCAGAGTCCCCGGCCGCAGACGTCGGGTGTCGGGTGTCACAGCCGCAACCCACAGATGGCGACTGGGACCGTGGTCAGCAACGACCACCCGCGAAGCCAGAGGACGCCACGTACACACGATAGGCGGCGCCACCTTCGCGGCCAGACATTCGAGAACCATCGAAGGCTGATGAAATGTCGCGCGGTTTAGCGGGTGGCCTGTGTAACACACAATCACGGGACAGGTTGGGTGCGGATGCCATGGGATGGGGACGCAGCAAACGGCGCAGGAGTTGATAGCAATTCATCGGCGGAGAGCTGGCAACATCGAAAATAGTTCGCAGCGGTTACACGGATGATGACGCAATCTGGATGTGGGGCCCAGGTCCTTTGTTCCGCCCGTCAGCTGATGGTCCGCACCTCCAGCCTGTATCCATGAAACCACGAAGGTACCCCACTGGAGGCGAACACTGTCTTTGTCTTTCGGAGCAGCTGGCCCCAGCGACAGGTCAGCCCAAGCCGCGGATGGTAGACCTAGGGCGGGAAAGGAGGGCAAATGTTGAATGTTATTTGGTTTATTTAGCGCCCTTGATGCCCTAACCGATGACTTACGCGCTCCCGGTAGGAAATCTTTTGCCAGTTGAGGTCAGTGACATAGCACGGCCTTCCTTGTCTTCAATTGTTTCACTACACTGATAGCATTAAATTCGCCTTAGCGATCACCTAGTGGCTGACTTCACAACCAGTCGTAAATTACCCTACAAATTTACCCGCACGAACATGAACAAAAAGCTGCTGGCCACGTGTGAGGGCACACCAAGGGCTGTCCATGATAACGTAATCGTGACTCAAGCGCGCGGTGAAGCCACGTGCCAGCAACGGTGGCTCACTTTCCCTCCCCTTGCGCGTGATTACCTGGTCTCATCCAAAGACTATCCCCTCCCCTCCAAAGCAAGGGCGCTATCAGTTTGTTCACACATAACAAGAAGCTGACCCAGCGGTCGCTTGACACCACCCGCCACTCAAATACAGAGAGCGCAGCGCGCGGAAGGCCGACGTGAGGCGCGCGGCCACGTGGCACGTTACGTGGCGATTACAAGCCGACATCATAACAAGCGGCCATTGCCGTGTACGTCAGTTACACGCTGGTGGAGACTGCGGGCGTAATTTGGGAACAGCTCACACTAGTCATCTAACCCAAAGGCCCCACGTTTTGCTTGGAGGCACTATTTTTTATTCGGCGGACCCAAAGCTCGTTGGGGATCCAGAGCTTCACACGTTCGGGACCCTATCTTTCTAGCATACTGTTTTTTATTTCGGGAATCCATTTTTAAAAACCCTACAGGCATCTTAAATCGCAAAAAAGTGATACCGCCACCTAAGAGGGGCGGCGGCGAAGTACACACTTGACTACGCCACTCATTGGAAGAACTTTGGCGGCATCACCTGGGTGGTGGGTTAAGGACGTAAGCAGACAGCTTCGCTTAGCATATGCCCCGGCCCATTTAGAATGTATTTTAAAGAAATGGGAGCCTAGTTATTTGGAAACATCACAGCCACGTCTTTCACATGCTCCAAAATGTAGGTAAATTCTCACCAGCAAATATGGCATGAAAACGGGTTCAGTCTCGATCGTAGGGTGCCTGGGCCCTGATTTGCCCCGGGACTCCACAGTACACATGGGGCCTGAGCAACGAATTTAGTAATTAGTGACGGCAAAAATAATGACTTACGAGCTTCAAGCTCCTGCACAAATCCATGGTCACTGCTTAAGCCGGCGTCAAACACAACATGGCGGGTTTCATGCACGGATGGGACTGATGTACAAGATCCAATGTTACATATGTCTACACAAAAGGTAAACCCATTATAAACAATCATTTGTGTTCTCCTTACGGCAATGGGTGCAAAAGTCGGCGTATTTGTTTTAGGAATAGAGTTGAGAGTTAGAAATACAGCTCATGTTTTAGGCTAAACAAACGTAGACCAAATGAAGCATTAACACTTTTCCATGCTCTCTTCAGCCTAATGCTACGTCACATCCGGTGGTTTAAGCCTTTTTGGGTCATAATCCGGTTTCATGGTTGAGCCGACAATCTTCCTTATCAGCAGCACGCGGCATTACATTTTTTAGATGACTATTCTGAATTTGGGTCAGCCTGACGTGCCCGAAAACTGACTGAGAGCTGCACGATAATCACAGAGAACAAACGCTGGCTCCTCGCGCAAGGAGTGCCAGTAGTATGGGGTGCCGAAAGTGTAGTGAGTAACGCGTCGGCGCTACCCATCGCGCGTCTGGGAGACAAGAGCTATGGGGTTCGATTCCCTGTGGTGACCCCCTTCCTGTTGGGGGTGAGAGGCAGGCGACGCCGTGCAGCCTCAGCAGCTGAGAGCGTCGTCAAGATCAACGATGACGGAAGGGTAGTGCTTTCCAAAGAGCCAGCCCGCGAAATGGTAGCATCCAACAGCTGGCTCTAGTAGTGTCGCAGCGAGGGCGGCTGAACAGAGTACTGGAGCAGCGACAAACCTCGGTTCTCATCAGTCGGGGACACAGACTCACTCCTCGGGCCTGAGTTTATCGACACACAATCCCTTTACAGGCGGCCGGCGGCCCCGGCCGGATTACCTGAGGCCATACGTTGACCCTCGCCGGCCCAACCAGTTTCGGACCCCTCCGCAAAGCAGGAGTAGTTCTTCGACGAAGGGACGCACCGGCCGCCGACTGTTCATCCCGCATCCCATGGGCCTGAGCAGCAATAAAGTGGTAGTGGCCTAGGCGCCACATATATTTCCATTCCGCTTTTTTGAATATATCTTACGTTTACCCCGTTAGGTCAAATCAAGTTGTTTTCCGTCACACGGTAACTAGGTCTTCATGCTCGGGGGCCAATGAGGTAAATATGAAAAATGCCTCCATGTCTTCAAAAAAATTTCCTAAGTGACCTTGTTAAGCCTGAATGGCTTTTGCAAGTCATGGACAGGTCATCGGTCACCAGTCCAAACAATCCGGTTCAAATGACATGGTGTATTCCTGTCTCCCTCGCCTCGCGGTCACACCAATCGGCACATCATATCTTTGGCATGGTTTGCGACCCGCGTATAAGTCGCGGACCGATGTGACGTGTCAGGCGGGGCCGGCAGCACCGACAGCCATTACACCCGCCGGGGGAGCGTTCAGATTTAATACGCAGTGTGCGATGCGCAGCCAGAAAACCGAAACGCAGACCAACAATTTCTTGCCGAACAGACACCCGATTCAAACTGGCCGCTCTCTTAGTGCGCAAGTGCCGTTTGAATAACCAAATATTGCCTCCTTTAGTGAAATCTGCAGAAGCCAAATTCCCACGAAAATGGCCGTGGCTGAAACGACCACATTCATTTTATTTTTCGGGAGGAGCCAACACCAATAACTGCGAAGCTCAGAACTTAGGCTACGATGCGAATGCAAATTCCATCGAAAACTCACAATAAAACGTCACCGCACCATCCGACAGTCTCGCACCGACCCTCTCCGCCCCCCATCCCCCGCATCTGCCCCATCGGGACAGACTGTCGGGGCATCCATGGCCACACTCACTGCCCTCTACCGGCCACCGCCGCACACTCCATCTCGGTGACGGCACGTAACGGCCCCCGGTTCCCGCCCCATGGCCGGGAGCAAAGCTGAGCCGATGACGTCAGCACAAGAGGGCGAGCATTCCGGGCACGCGGCCGGCGGTCCGAAAGAAAAAAGTACCAAGAACGGAGTCAATCCTGATAGGACAGAACTCGGCCTGATGTGTGAGGAGCGAGTCTAGTTTAAAACCGGCTCATAATTCAGAGGATGAGGACGTGAGACAACTCACGCATTTCGCGGCTCGATCATTTAACAATTTCTGAGTTTCATCGTGCGTGCAAATGCCAGAAACCAGCCATAGGCTGTTGTGCAAGCTTTCTGTAACAATGGTGTACTTTGTTAGATAAACTGCATGTCTGAATTGAATCGTTCGTCAGAAGATCAATATGTTTCACTTCCTGTTTTATACTGACAAAAACAAAAAATATGTGACAGGGCACCTACCGATCAGTTTCAGAACAAAAGTTCGGGTGTGCGGGGCGGAAAAAACAAACCGCGAGGCTCAAGCACCCCAGCCTAAGTTCGCACCATCATGCAATCCAGCTCTCTGCCAAACGAACACAGAACTGGACGAAGAATACCGCTGCCGCCAGGACCACGTTGCACGAGATTGGCTTCGTGCCAGCAAAATGATACCGTAGACGGTAGCCGACGCGCCTGCCGGCACATTCGTCTGGCTCTCGCGCCCGCGCGCAACTTGCGAGCAAACTGAATGTGAGACGCATCTATGACTCCGCACGTTATGCCGATTCGTGCCGTTCGCGAACATCGCCACAGCAGATCACACTGAGTAAATAATTTCACCAACGTCAACATACCGCCAAAACCACACAATCTCGCCTTGTCCACAATCCCTTATCTTTTAACCTTTGTCTATCAGGTAGCCAGGATGGGGGGGGGGGAGGGAACTCTGAGCAAATTCTTGTGGGATCACCCAGCAAACAGCGCAGACCTCGCGACTCAGGGAGTGAGGGACTCAATTGCTCCACTCTAGCAACATCCCTGCTCGTTTAAACAAACCACACACATCTAGCCCCAATCAGCAAAGCCATGTGGCCCGTACTGTACCGCCCGACTGTGTAGGAAAAGCAGTGCGGCCGAGGATCCGGCGAGCGCAGCTCAGACACGACCGGCAAGGTCGGACCAGTCCACAGATCAACACACAAGCCGCCCCTTCCTTTTCGTAGGCCACTTTTCACCGGATGCTTCAAGTCAATGGGAAGTGTCACACAACGGTAGCTGCTTTCGTGTGGTGTTCGAGCCCACTGCATTACGACCAGTGCGAAAAGTGAGTGGCAAAATTTGAGGCGAGCGGCATTTACTGCTGCTGCCAAAACGTTGTATGGAACAAATTATCTCCTGCTCGTTCTAAGCATAAGATCTAGCAATCTTTCCGTCGCGAACAAACTCTGCAACATCATGGTAATGCACGGAAAAGATCCATTTCGTAGGCCTCATCCGCCCACATTTTGGCGTCCTCGCGCCCGTCGCCGACCCATCGCGTGGAGATTAAGTTCGGAAACTGGGGAACAAGATGGCAGGCGAGGGCTTCCGGTGTCACAGGATAAGCGAGATCTATCACGATGCATATCAAGCGCGACCTTAACGCCCCTAGGCCTTAGCCGCTCTGACTCCCACCTGCGCCGCCCATGCAGGGATGATCAGGGCAGTGCAGATAGCCCGTCCTAATGATCTCTGCAAGGCGGCACGACGGGCTAGGGAAATGCTTTACAATCTCAAATTCAAGCCCATAACCCAGTCCACTGCATGAAAGGGTCACGTATCTAGTACCCTCCATCGCCATGAAGTACATTTCTGGGCTCGATATGCCGACCTGATGTCCCTAACCGGGAGTGGTCATCTCGCCAAGGGGACCCAGCTACTGCCCAACAGTCCGCGCGCGAGTCATCACCAAGGTCAAGTTCGCGATCCGGCCGTCGTCCCGTCCCTTCCCGCACGTGGCGCTCACCTGTTCGGGCCCGGGCGCCGGCAACCAACACCCACCACCACCGTATCACAACTGCCTGCCCGCCCTTGCCGCGGAGCGCCTCGCGCACGGCGTCCCGCATTTAACGGCCTTTTAAATTCGCTGATAGGGAAAACCTTGCCGGCTGCAGCCTCAGCCGACCGTACGCCCGGATGGCGTGGGGCCGAGTTATGCGTTATCACACGCTTTCAGCGTGTAGTGAAATACTCGAATTTCCACGCCAGGACAACCAATCAGATACCGGAATGTGATCGACAGACATTTGATGAACGTTTCAAGACGTTTCGCGCCTCCGCTGTACACGTGCGCTAGCCTCCACCGAGAGCCCGCCCCCTCTGTCCAAAGAGGGGAGACCGAATGGGAATCGGCGCCCAGGCAAGATCTACGAACGGCACATGGGAGGAGATCCGAAGCGGCGGCCTGATTGGACGTCTAACCTCCTTCGACCCTCAGCCAGGCATGACTCATGATGGCTTAACATTGTGCAATACCGGATTCCGCGGACCGTCGCGGTGGCGATCGGGTGCCGTGGTGCCGGCGGCGCCTGGAGACGCCAAATTTTTAAGGCCAAGGGGGCCCGCCCAGCCCCAAAATCCAACTTTGAAGGCCCGCTCGGCCCCATGCGGAAAATATCTTACCATGCAATGTGGCGTCGTGCATAACCCTATGCGTGATTCAATAGTATTATTATTTCTGACATTAATAAACGGTAGTAACCAGGAAGCTATCGCCATTAACACACATATGAGTGGCTCATCAGAAATACACTTCGCAAGCTGGGGCAGCCTCTTGTTTATTCAGAAAGCTACACTTAAAGACAAATCAAGATTTACTATATGAATATAATATAGTAAATATAATAATACATGAAACATCAAGTACATTCCCACCTACGCAAGCAATAGTTTATTTATGTTATGAAAAGTGTCTGTGGGCTAGAGCCTGACATCAGTAGCCAATATCGTAAAGAAACATGCCACTGTCTGCAAAAAAACAACCACCGAAAAGTAGAAAAGCAATCTCCTCAATGTTATAAAAAGGAGACGGGACAGCAAGTCTTCCTTGTTTTCCTGCTAGCTTTGACATGTTTCACTGACGTACTTTTTAAATAGAGCTGGGTTGGCGCGGTTTGCACCAGAGTACGGATCCTTTCACGGATTAATTAGCTGGCAAGGCATAATCAGCTCCGGGGAACGCCATGATAATCTAAAAATATACGTTGCTAAATAGTTGAGATATTGCATGGCAATTGGGTCTTGAAAGTTAAAGATCTTGAGTTGCATTGTCATGAACCCTCAGCTGAGGCTGCGTTCCGGAGGGAACTCACAATGAAATAAGGTGTTGTAACTGAGAATCGGTTCAAAGACTGTGAGAAAGCTTGTAATTTGATAGTCTCGTGGGCTGTGCATGTGCGGGATCACATCTACGTGACATGTGGGTGAATCAGGCGCTTGAAGTCGGTGTGATCACCGGAAGTGCGTGCCAGCGCAACAGAAAAATCTCCAACTTTCTTATGAGACACAGCCCTGCCAAATCCGACAAGCCTAAATGCACCCATGTAGTCCATCAATTCAAATGTTATCTTGAAGGTTGTAAACTTCGTTCCACACACTACATTGGCGTAACCACAGCGACACTCCCACGATGCCCGGCAATGCACTTACGTGGCGGGGCACCTCTGGAGCACATGCGACACGAACATGACGGGACAATAACGTAGCTGACAACACCGATATTCTTTAGAAGCGCAATGACAGAAGGCGCCTTGAAATTTAGGAAAGTATAGTTATCAACGAATTCTCTCCAGCCCTGAACATGCCAGCAAAATATTGTATAGCTCTTGAGTTATTAGTTGGTGAGCAGAAGCTTCCGTACATCCCCAGTCTAACTCAGTTCAGTTGATCGTATTCGCGAATAGTTCTAACAAGCGGTTTATTGTTTGCTGTTGCCTATTGTAACGCTTCATCTGTTTGCGGTGTGAATGCTATCGTACCCGTCCCCCTTTTACATGTGGGTTTAGTTGAATGCGATGCACAATGCCCCTCTTTGCCGTGTCCACTCCGGGCATAGACGTTTACGACCTAGTGGCATTATATCTATACGCCTCCGACGATGAAATAAGGCCTCGAAACGTTAGAGGGTACAGGTATCGACGAATATAGGAGTGATTTTGTACGAACAATATACTTAAAAACAGTAGGAATAACCTTATTCCTCGTAGAAAAGCCAGGAGAATGGAGAGATAGGCGCCTTGGCAACATGCCTTTATCGAAACGAATACCAATAGTGATGTTTTTACTACTCAGTGGATAGTACCACTAACGCATTTGTATATGTAGTAAGATCACTATTCAACTAAATTTTTCCCCACATCGGTGATCACTATTCGCATCACTAATGACACACACTACTGACATTTTCTCGATAAAGGCATGTTGCCGAAATATCCCCGAATCTATCCCTTTATTCTCCTCTTTTTTGTAAGAGGAATAAGGCCGTTACTACTGTCTTATCTATATGCATAATATTTCTCGCAAATGCACTTAACGACTTCCGGAACAATCTCTAATCTTAGCGATAGTGTTAAGCCGACGGCCCGAAACCTCGAACGATGCATCAAGAAGTTTGCTAATGCAAAATCAGCGATCGTTTTCAATTACAACATATATATATATATATATATGTATATATATATATATATATATATATATATATATATGTTTCTCTACATTCCTATTCATGTGATATATGTAGGCTGCACGGATCTTGACCACACCACTTACGTTAACCAACATCAGTTGAGGGGGGGGGGGGCTGAGTCTGATGAAGTGTGCAAGATTAGCCCATTGTCACGCAAGTGCAATTTCTTTGCGGATTTACCTCTATTCTTCTCCAAAGTCGTGGGCCTGACGGCAAAGTTGGGAGAGGGGCGGGGGGCGAAACCACTTCAACTGAGAACGAAGCTGTTCCTCTGCCACACATACACCCCTGGCCAACAATATTCAACCCTTGCCCAACTACATCCCTGACCAACAACATTTAACCCCTGTCCAACTACAGCCCTGACCGACACCATCCCGGATGCGAGAGCACCGTCAGGCTTAGCTGACCGTCGAATCCCGGCCCCAGTGTGCCGCTGGCCCGGGCTGCGATACTACAGCGTTCGCAGCGGTATCCGGTACCCGCCGGCGACGGACGAGGGTGACGTGGGCGGTCGTCAAGCCCTCCCCGCGACGCTGACACCGAGGAGCCGCGCACCTCGCTAGTGGTGTCGATCTGGGCTGCGGGAACGGGTTTAATGTGCAAGGTCAGGGTTAGATCGGGATGGGCGAAGGTCATCAAGACAGGCCTGTACCTGCCGTGTGGGTGTGCTTCACTATCGAATCCAAGCAGGCCGCGGTGCTGGAGCGTTCTTCCGGCCATCTGCGGTCAGACACGCCCCCACGCCTACTGAACGAGCCGCCGCTGCGCCTCGGGGTAGGCCAAGGCAAGTGTGAATGTACCTCGGCTGTGACTGAGTCTTCCTCTGCGGTCCGGACTGCAGAGTCTGAAGAAACGGAGAAACGGCGAGAAGGTGTCATTCAAAGGGAGTGTTCCACTTTTGAATGAGGTTTGAACTGAAATAGTTATCTTGAAGATGGCTATTTCGGTGCAGTCCGCATCCCTGTCCTTCTTAAGGCCTAAAGCCTCTAGTTTCTGAGCTACGCGCCCGCGAAGATGTGTAGAGTATTTCGGGGAGACTAATTCAAGGTCGCCCAGGAATCCATGACGCCCTAATAACGTCATTCAAATGTTCAAATGTCATTGGCCACGCGGCGATGAAGGCCCAAAAACTTATCAAGTCGCCCATATCTGACGTTTCTGAGCACAATTCCCAGATGAAACGGCCGTCAACTGGCTCTCGTGTGCAAGTTATGCAAGTCATGATGACGTAATCAAACAATGACGTATTTAGGAGTTAATTTGTTTAACAGATAGATGATTTTGTCCAGAGCAGCCTTTTCCAGTTAAAGGTACATGAACAGCAAAAACTGAGCTTATCTACCATATTTGCTGCTTGCTTCAGTGTCTTAAAATGTAGAACATTCTCTTTAAGCAAAAACTTCTGCGACAAATATGGCCACTATGCTAGTGCCTACGAGCACGGGTGTCCATTTGTATTCTTTTGTGGGGGCCCTGGCCCCTCCCCCCCCCCCAATCTTGAGTTGCCCCCCCCCCAATGTTGGCTTGTCCCCATGTTTTTGGATGGAATACTACAAAAAACATGGATAAAGGATGATCATAATAACGACTATCTTCTTTGATCTTTCTGCCTAGTGGCGTCTCGTACCACGCTCATAACAAAATAACAAAAAGTCATGGCTGCTTTCACCACAAGATACAAAGCGTAGCAGCTGAGCAGATAAACGATGCGATCATCTTCACATGCCTAGCGCCGTAAGGCACGCAGTGGTTTGTGAGGTTAAAGTAAAAAAAACTCTGGAATATGGGAACGACTTCAGTCCTTCATGTCTACTCTTGTCTTCTTGTCTTCTTCTCTTCTACTCTTGCCTTCAGTCCTTCATGTTTTCATGACTTCAGTCCTTCTAACCCCGTCCCCGTCCCTCACAACCAAAATGGGTGCCGCCCCCCATGACCACCATAGAAGAGCGCCATCGACTCCCTGAGGTGGCCTCTAATGGGGCGCCTTCACGTGCTGATCAGAAGAGACGTATATGTCCAGTGCCTGCTCCCTGGATCCAACCTGCATTACTTTTGTACTGCTTAAGCTAAAGTCTTGTTATAAAGTTTACAAATATTAAAACAAATATTGCGTTTAATCAACATAAAGTGGGCTAAATCCGGCAAGAAAAGGGGGGGGGGGGTAAGGTTGTCGGGTCTTCGGTTCGGCCTCCCAATAATTCACAAAAAAATTGACACACTGCCTACGAGTGCAGCCATGCTTACAACACATGAGCAAGTGCTGTCGTATTTGATAGCGCTGCTTTTTCGCGCAGGGAAATGCCCCCCCCCCCCCCAAAAAAAAATTGGAGCAGCATCGCAGCGTTAAGGCAAGCTCCTGACGAAACGAAGAGACTGACAAAACCAGAAAATGGGGAGAGGCTTTGTTTTACTAAACCAACTGTTAAGCTTTCCGAACAGACTTAAAATGTTTCCGCGTCGGTGAGCCCTGAGACCATCGTCTTCCGTCCAGCGCTGAGGTCCAATGAGCACGGATCGCCGTGATGGGACACAGCTGACGATGGTGACTTGCGCTGCTGAGTGTGGTGGCTCCCGGCCCCGTCAAACGCACACTGGAGCACGGGCTCAGCTGTGAGCATGCTGGTGGTTTGGCCAATCCGTTTGGGCCACCTGACAAGCAATCCAGCGGCAATTCCATCACGAACTCGAACAAAGTAGAACATCGTGGAATAATGGGTTCAGAAGGGCTGCTCAAAGATCCCGCACAATTAATGCTTTAAGAAACAACAACACACTCATGACGAGGTTGCGTGAATTTCGTCCGACAAAACATTCTGCTTACGTGGACACGTTCGCATGTTGAGCCACAGCCGCCGCCAAGCACCGACTCCTGCCGCTTGTTAGACCCCGCGTTCAAACGCATTGCAACTGCCACGACCCAAACACAGACGAATTACCAGCAGGCCGAGTCGCCGCACGCCAATCGGCTATTGACGCTATATTTTCAGCTGGGCTCGCTCACCAGCCAGCGGAATGGTGGAGCCCTAGTCGCCTGAATCACCGAAAACAATCTGACTGCCCTTTAAACTGAGCCTGTTTGGACACGTCCGTGCGGGGACCCTTCCAGGTCCAGCGCGGCCTGTTCGCACCTGTAGCCCGGGTCTGCCACACACCTGACCCCCGTCCCCGCTCCCCCGCCGCGGGCCGGAACGCGCAGGCAGCCGGCCGCGTCGGCCGGTGACGAGCCGCTGTTATTTATCAGCCGTAATTGCAGGGGCGCCGCTGGTTTACGGGGCGTCAGGGCGGCGGCCTGCCGTCGAGATCGGGCCGCGGCGCCCTGGGCGGCGGGCGCGCGGGGAAGGGCGCCCCGGGCGCGGCGTCGGTGCCGCTAGGGGACGGGACGGACGGGCGATGGCGAGCGCGGGCGTTTCGCAGGATCACCCCAGCAGGATGATGCGGTTCTACGGGCAGCGATGAAGGGGGAACAAGTCGCCCAGGTGACTTCCTAGAACGCGCCGTACGCCGTCAGACCGTCCGCGAGGCCGGCACACGTGAGCGCCTTCTGGGTGGAAGGCGAGTGGCCGCGCTCAGAGCCAGTGCAAGGCTTCGCTGCAATTAGTTACCGCTGCCCCGGCATGCTACTTTCGTATGCGCGTGCCATCGGCAGGATTGCGGCAGCTTGCTGAAGGTTGAAGACTCGGAGGCGTTTTGGTTCGTTCCTTCTCATGCATCGTCACAAGGTCAGTGCTAAATGTTCTTAACTGGAGGGTCTCGAGTCCCGAATCCCCATTCCAGGACGAGATCGCTCCCGTGCCTATGCCTATGGTCAAGGTCAGATCACCGTTGATTCAAGCTGTGTGAGTGCTGCCGCCGCACCGCCCCGAGGCCAGCTCTAGGCCGCTGTGGTGTCTGCTCAGATGTCCTCCACTCATGTCACAACTACTACAGGATTGATCCAGAGCGATGGGAAGGGACTAAACTGCCGACCAGCCTGGTGACAATGCCACGCTCCGAGCCTCTGGGGCCGATGGAGACATCACCACTCTATCGGTGTCACCAACCGATGCGTCACCACTCTATTGGTGTCACCAATCGATACGTCACCACTCTATCAGTGTCACCAATCGATACATCACCACTCTATGGGTGTCACCAATCGATACGTCAGAATCAAAATTCCATCCTCCGCGAAATACGGTAGCCTTTGGCCGTATCAAATCTCATCGAAAACGCTCGATGCCTCTAAGATTAACCCCAGACAACCAATGTTCCAAGCCGTCCATATGCCATCCTCACTCAGAGATGGCGACATTGGGTTAGGTCAAAGGGCACAAAAATGCCCGAAACCCCCAAAATTGACCGCGGACACTTCTATACTCTGAGCCTATAGAACCGATTGCCACAAAATTGTCATCAAACGATGCACCAAGGTCGATAATCTGACAATCCCGGACGGTAGTGATCTTGGGTCAGGTTAAGTCTAAAAAATGTCCAAGACTGTCAGAAACCATTTTGCAGACAATGCTATGCTACCAGCCTATGAGACCAACCGACAAAAAACATTCGCCAATAGATTCGCTATGGTCGATAACCGACAGCGTCATGCACGGACCCTATAACACCGATCGACATCGGATATTGACCATTCGATGCGCTGTGGTCGACCCCTATCCTGAAGATAGTACTCTGTCTACTTCCTGAAGAAAGTATTCTTGGGTCAAGCCGCAGTTCTCTCAAAAGCTCCAGATCGCCCCGTATCAGCTTTGATGGTTTCAAGCGTTTTTGGTAGTCTTAGGTCAAGGTCCCCAAGGTCACCATACGCTGGAAATGAGAAAGAATATCGACTAAGGCACATGGACTGGCGATGTTTTTGTGATGATCGGTCCCTTCGGCTCGGAGCATGTGGTTGTCTGCAAGCTGATGTTACCGGTTTGGGCGCTTTTGGTGACCTACGACCCGACCCAAGTCTTCTAAACGGGATCAGTTATCGCCCGAGCGGCCTCGAGTTGTAAACGCATGGTGTCGATCAGTCCCATAGGCCAAGAACATGGGATTGTCAACAGGTTTTGTCGGCCGTTTAGTCCCTCTCGTCCTAACGCGCGCGCCAGCGCAATGCATTCTCCGAAGGGCTGCTGGTGTCTGATCCACGAGCAGCTGGAGCGTGGGATCGTTGCAGCTACTTAATCGAAGCAAGCACCGCGAGATATGGCACCGTACCCCACTGACCCTGAGTTACTGAGCCGCAGGCCTTACGGTCTTGTGGCGGTTCGGTGACACCAGTGTAGGGCGCGATGCGTTCATCATCTCACGCTGAAACTGCTGCAACCTGACCGTGACGTCATTCACACCGGTTTACCAAAACGCCCGTTCCATTACATCTGGTCAACGATGCCAGCTTGCCGGGTCGGCCGACGTTTGTTCCGTCGGGTGACGGTCAGGTTTCGCCGCTCCCACGCCCCGGCCAGACCGCCCCGCCGGGCCGCCGGGTAGTTTCAGGGTCCTGCCGCCAGGCGGTGGGCTGTGACTCACCACCCGTTGCCGCGAGAGAGTTGGTCGGCCGAACTGGCCGGCGGCTGTGATTGGTGACAATGCTCTCGCGCCACTGCTTACGCCTCAGACGCCTTCCGACCTTTCGGCCGCTCCTCCGCGTAGAACTCCCCGCCGGTCGTCTCTCGTGAGCCGACACATCAGCCGCGGGACCGGAACGAGGGGAGGGGCAGACACCACCGGGCGCTGGCCGGCGCGCCGCCGTGACCTTGTCTGCTGCTGCAGAGTTTGCCGTCGCGCGCACCAGGCGCGTGCGGCCTGGTATTCCCGATTCATGACAGGACACGCCTGCGCGGCGCTGTTGCTAAGCTGAAGCATGGCCGCTTGGCGGTGGCCCTGGGGGTGTAGATGAAAACTAAGACACCTGTGCAAGCCGGCGTGGCCGGAGCCGAGCCCCATGAGAGAACGCCCGTTTTTGCGCGATCGAATGTGCAAGGGCCGCCACAGACAGAGGGAGACATGCATGCCTGATGTACCTCAGTTTTTCTGTGTTCGTCGATGGCTAACGAGCTTACGGCGAATGGCGCGGTGAGCTCCCTGGCGTTAGTGCTACAGCAAAAACTCCAGCCAACGCGAGTGCTGCTGCATTACCTCAACTGCCAATACTGATACGCGACGTACGTGCCACGCGACAAAACTGATTCTGCAAAAACTTATACTGGTGATTACTTCTACTGCAAACACAGTCATTACTTAAAAACGGCGTTACTTCTGCTGCAAAAACTTATATCCGACATTAGTGCTACGTGACCAACCTTGTCCTTCGAACAGTTTTAGCCGTCATTAGCTCTACTCAGAAAACGTATAGAGCCATTGCCTATTATGGAATTACTTCTACTGCAAAGGCTTGAATGCGGCATTAATGCTACAGCAAAGATATGTGGTCAAGTCTGCTGTATAAATAAATACTGGTATATGTTTTTGCGGCATAAGTTTTGTCGTATATCAGAGTAGCAGCGGAAGTATGCCGCCTAAAATGAAGACTGCATAAGATTTTACAGCTGACGTATTGATATCTATAAGTTTTTGAAGCATAAACTTTGTCATGTAGCACCCATGTCGATGTATGCAGTAGAAGTAATATTGCGTGTCAGTAAAGTCTGCATAAGTTTTTCGATAGAAGCGATGTCGCGTATTACTGACGCGGCACACCTCGCGGCAGGAGTTTTTGCCGTAGCAATGCCATGACACCATGGCGACAAGGACCAGTGCCGACTCGGCAGTCCCGGCCGACCATGTGGACGTGGATCACGTGTGCTGGTGGCCGTTACGATGCTGCACAGCAAATATGTATGTTTGCATGTCTTCACGTTGCAACCCATACCAATATATCATGCATTCTCTACACGACTGAAATACATGCTTGACCCTCACTGTGCCCTGTCAAGTCTTAACATATTTTTCGGGCACAGACACGCTTCGTCGTCTAACAAAGTGCATGCTCACCTCCTTGGTGCATCAACTAAAAACCCATGCTCGTGTCCTTATGGCGTGTAGGGACTCTCGCTTAACTGTGGCAACAAGGCATGAATGGTTACGAGCGCTCACGTAGCGCGGCAGGCGGTTGTAGTCGACCGGAACCGGAATATAAAATGCCATTTGCCACTGTCATGCGCCGTAGGCACCCCGACGTCGAATGACTGGCGAATGAGCCTTCCTGTCGTGTCGATGCTTGTGCTGAGTGGATTTGGGGCAATGCTAATAAATGTCCTGTAGTGATGACCTTATGGAAAAGGTACATTGTGATAATGTTATCAGGAAAAGTTACGTTGTGGTAATATGCCAGCCGTCTCTTATTGAAGATGGGGCTTTGGTTTATCAGATCGCAAATGCGGTCGAACTTCCGACTGATGACAAAACGCTGGCGTAAAAATTGAGAATTGGCTGAACCTGTTTCAAGTTTGACTGGTTTGCACTGCCGTGCACAAATATGCAGCAACGAATTATGGAGTTGACCAGACTCTACAATTCTGCCTTTCTGTTCGCTTTGGAGACTATACCGTATATGAGACGGGGTAGCAAGTAGCCGACTACAGCGTGCCTTCACGCTGGCAGTGCGCGCCGAGAAGAGAAGCGATCGGCCGAAGGTCAACCCAAGGTTAAGTGCCGAGCCACTCTCCTCAATAGTGTAGTCTCCTTCGCGGGTTCAGATAGGCGGCACGTGCCCCAACACTAGCTAAGCGTCGATGACGAAAAGCTGGGTTTCGCTAGCATTGTGTTTCATGGCATGTTGCCCAACCCATTGGTCCAGCGATGATACCATTCGTTCTATGTTCGCTGTAAGTTCAGTCGATTCTAGCTTTCTATCAGTTACGATATAATTCGTACCCGTAGTGGACAACATGGATGCTGTATTCTGCATCGAGGCTGATGTCATTTGAAAATATATTATAAGATAACAGGCCGAGGGTCTTATTATGTTCATCCCTATTTCATTTTCAAGCGGTCGTGCTTTTAGAGGTCCGAGGTGCATGCAGGTAAATGCTGTCTTCTGTTTGGAATTGCAACAATGGTTTAAATCATTGAGGGCGAACACGACTGCAGACCAGCTTTTTCAAAGAGCTTATCATGATTCACCACATTAAAACATTCAGACAAATCCGATGGGACATTTCCCAGCATCAGGAACTGAACAGGTGTTAAGGCTGGTGTTCACAATGACGAGGATGGTGCGATAGAGTGCGGGAAACGACGTTTTTAGGGGGAGATCGTCATCGCCGTAAGCATTTGAGTGGCTTCTACTAAAAACAGCAGAATAAAAACTTTCAGGCGACAATGGCTGGACTTTAACCCTCGCGCCCTGATTCGCTGTTTTTCCAAACAAGGACTGATGGGTGGTGGGTTTCGATGTGGCCCCTAGCGTTTCCGAACTAATGGAGATAAAGCTCAGCGAAAAACGTCATTGGATTGGTCTCAACGAGATCTCACGATCGGGACCAATTTTTATGCTTTGAGGTCAATAAATAACCATATTATGCCAGTCATAGGTCAAATGTTCGTGAATATCGCACTTTTCCAGCTTTACAGCAACGTTCCTACGAGATTATTGTTCCTCGTTCAGTTCAAAGTACAATGGTGTGGCACAGTAGGTCTTGGTCTATTGGACAACTGGTCAAATATTCTGAGCCAAATTTTGTTGATTTGTTCTTAGCAGATGTTTACGTCTAACTCCGTCCCATGTGCCGTGCCGTGTTCCTCAAAAACCGTCGCTGCTTTAAAACCGAACAAGCTAGGGACACTCTTCTGGTGTCCAAACATGCGCAATGGATGTCTCATAGGCTACCTATTGGAAAAAGGCTAAGCTAATTGGGGCGCGATTTCAGGCATTTCTGAGAGATACCCTACGACAATTGGAGGGAGGAGACGCATCGACACCTCCCCACTGAACCCCACCAGGGCGAGGGTTCAGTAGTTCAGAACACACGGGGAGTTAGCAGTGATCGCAGGTCTGGTGTAGTTGTAGGTGTAAGTATAATCTCATTTCTAGCTGTCATCACGGCAGCCGTTGTTTGATTTCCAATTTGCGCGAAGCAGCTGCTCATGACCTTTGGGTCGATCTGCGAGTTGTGCTTTCTAGCAAGCGACGATCAGCAGTATGCACTGATGCATAATGTTCAGCCCTGCTTCTCGGATATTCCTGCTGATGTCCCCATGGTTATCATGACGGATGACCGCAGACCGAGCGTACTATGAGTTCTTTTATGTTCAGCTTGTAACTGCGCCCAAACCGTCTCGATATGGGGCCACCGAGTGGCTTCACAGCACACGCGCCGAATACAGAGAGCTGGTCTGCCTGGATTGTTGAAACTGAGCCAGGTCTCACTGGTGAACGCGAAGTGCAGTCGCAGGGAGCAAGGCCCTGTCTAAGTTCAGGTACACTTGGCTTCATTGATCGGACATTCGGTTTTTGTACCAATGTCTGGCCGGCATCATCCCACGGAGCTCTCTCTACGCCAGCGATCTCATCTCCGGCAGCGGCGGTGGCGGGAGTGCTTCTCCCCCTTCTCCCGGTGGCCGCGCCGTCCGGCCATACGCTCTCCCCCAACGCTGCGGTCACCCCACTGGTGTGCGGCGTCCCGATTGGCCGGCGGTGGCGACCCGGCCCAGCAGGAGCCGCCGGTGCACGCGCACCGGGGACGCACGGCCGGCCCAGCCAGGGGCTGGGGCCGGCGCCCGGCCGGCCCAGCCAGGGCCAGCCAGGGCCAGCTGGGACCGGCGCCCGGCGCAGGTCAGCTAAGTGACACAAGAAAATGGACAACCATGGTCCAGCGCATCGATCGAAGGCGACTTTGTTGCATTTGTCGGTGCATGTGCTGTTGTGTGGAACGGGGTGGCCGCCATGGTTAGCAGTCGGGCCACCGAAAGAATGGTGCGATGTTTCGGCCTGAGCCGGTAGCGCCCCTGGTGACTAAGCGACACAGACATCGCCCCCGCCCCCTTACGACCTATACCCGCGCTGATCTGGCCGGGGACGGGGAGCCGACACCGAGCCGACGTCCGGGTCTGGCCGGATGCCACCGCGCGCGTCTGGGGCCGGCCGTGAGGACCGCCCGCATGACACTGCACATTGCGGAGATCACCAGGCTGACATGATATGCGTGCTGACCGGGATGGGTCGCGCGCGCTGATCGGGATAGGTCGCACATGCTGATCGGGATGGGCCGCGCGCGCTGATCGGGATGGGTCGCACGTGCTGATCAGGATGAGCCGCGCGCGCTGATCGGGACGGGCCGCGCGTGCTGATTGGGGTGGGTCGGGTGCGCTGATCGGGATGGGCGATCGGGATGGGCCACGCGTGCTGATCGGGATGGGCTGCGCGTGCTGTTTGGGATGGGTCCGGTCAGACAAGGCAATTCGTCTGGCTCTTGACGCCGCGCACACACGGGTCTTGCCGGAGAGCGGTTGGCGAGCTGATGTGTAAGACGGCTGCGACGCAATGCGTCACCGGACCTCTTCTAGCCTGCCGGCTGTTGTCTTCTCGCATGCCGGTTTGATCTCCGCTTGAGCACCCACAGGCCTGTGGGCGGTAGACCTATGCTCATTGTGGCAGCGTGCTCGTTGATAGCATATCTTTATGGCCGTGGGGCACGTTAACTCCCTTGGTTAGTTGCACGCTGTGCACGCAATTGTACTGCAAAAGAAGAAAAGAAGAAAAGTCGTCGAAATGGTCATTTTTCATATGCTCGTAGTTTATTGAGGTCACAGGCATTCATTATTTATTTCCAGGACAAATGAAAAAGAAAGACTTTCTTTGTGGGTCTAATCCCTATCATGACACAATCAAAGTTGCAGCTGTTATTTGTGTGACCTGTTCAACGATATGCCACCTCTTCAGTTACGATTGCTACCAAGTATGGGCGTAATTCATCTCCGACATAATTACTATTAGCTCCTCCAGCATGATTCTGGGCAGTGCTCCTGTGCTGCGCACGTGAAATTGGGCTCCGTCCCCCGCCCGGTGACTGCACGCGGCGGGCGCGGCACTGACCGGCCGCTCGAGCTGCTTGTTTTGCTCATGGGCTCGCCTCGTCGCAGATATTGCAAGCGTCTGTACTGGATGTGCGCCCTGATCTTGCACTTGGCCATTTCGTTTGCAACCAGTGTGGCAACGCGATAGAGTACTGAATTTGGATTTCGAAGTGGTGCACTCTGACACGGAAAGCGATCGAAAATATTTAACAAGGGGTTAGTGGGGAGAGGTATATCAGAAAAGGCGCATTAGATGGTCCAGAGCTTTCAAGATGCAGATAGTTACAGGTGCAGGTGCGGTCATGATGCTCCTGCGTGTCGCGGTTCTGAACGTGCACGAGGGACGCACGTACATCAGCGCAAACTTAAATCTCGCGCGTGCTTCCACCAACCAGTAATTTCAGGCGCGCGACGAGCGCACGAAATGAACAGGGTCCTAAAACTGATTCCGTCGCAGGATTGAAAAACATCGAGATGAAAAAACGGGTGTTAACGGACGCGAGGGCGCCAGGTCGTAACCAGCCGTCGTCCTTGCGCCCCAGTTACTGCCCACGCATCCATGAATATCATGCTGTACATTAACCCGCATTCTGTCGTATTAATATAGACTACGGTCAGCGATCGCAAGCGTTCTATTTGTTGCGAGCGGTCGCGAGATCACGTCGCGCGTAACCGACGCTAACCCATTGTCGACAAGCAGCGGGCGTGACTCGTACGATGGGCGCGAACAGTTGACAGGATACGCTCCGATCGGGGTCACGAACCACGGACCACGTGCCTCGCGGAGACATCGCAGTGCGTATAACAAAGGCTTTGGCATGGGCAGCTTGTCAGTGACCGGCAGACGGCGACATCGCGCTCCGGCTCCGGACCGAGCACCCCAAGCTGCGTGGATGGCCATACACGCCAACGACAAAACGCGGGTAGGTAACACGCCCCAGCAAAACGATGCTATCCTTGTCTGTTGGCGCCCGCCGCTCCCACCAGCCGGTCGCGCCTCCGACGTCCGGGGACGTCAACACACGTATCTGGCCGAGCCGCGTGCGCGGGCCGCCAGACATCGACCCCTGGCCGAGCGTGACGTCGATAGCCACGTCACACTGTGAGTCAGACGGTCGCCGGGCGCCGGCGACACGGCCAGCGCCGCCCGCTGCGCACTTGTCCTCGGCGAGGTGTGTGTCTGCCGGCCCGGTCCTGGTCCTCGTCCGGCCGGCGGCTGGCGGCGTCTCCGCCCGTCACCGCGCGCTCGAGGCGTCCGCCGGCAGGGGCGACGCCACCGCTGGCGGCGGCGGCGGGCCCATGGCGGCTCGAGCGGGCGGCGCGGAGGCAGCGGGCGCCCGCCGGCCCGGTGGGCCCGGCGCGGCGGCCCCCACGCCGAGCCCGGCCACTGCCGGCGGAATGATGAGCTCGTGCGGCCGCTCGGCGGCCGGCGCGATGCTCAGGATCGAGCCGAACCGGCAGTGCTGGATGACCGGGTGTTTACAGAGCACCTCGCCGCGGTACATCTTGAGCAGGCCCGAGTTGACCTTGGTCCAGTGCGGCACGGCGCTGATGTTCCACAGCTGATTGCTGTGCTCCGCGAATGGCCCCGTCTTCACCTGGCCGGGGCGCGGGCACGTCACGGGCTGGTACGCGGCACTCCGCCGGAAAAACCGCGGCTAAACAACGCGGGACTCTGTGGCAGATCACGGCCAGGCACACGGACCGCCGTCCGGGAGAACACAGGCACGGAAGCAGATCAGGCGCACGGGGCAACACAATAGTGTACCGTCCGGGCCACGACAGCACTCCACAGCGGAACAAGGGCAGGTCAGCAGACCACTAACACGGCACTGCACAGCACAATAGCACAGGAAACGGGCACAGCAGGACAAGGAGCTGAGCGACAGAACACGGGCAGGAACACAGCTTTGCAAAACGCGGACGGACGCAAAGGTGGTGATTTGGTGTTTAAGGGCGCGTCGGCACCGGGGCCATTCTGCGCCCAACAGGCGCAAAGGGTCCAGCAGCAGGGCAAACGGCGCCGGCATACCCGACGCGGGACACGGACCTCCGCCGGAGAGCACAGACGAGGACACGTGATTCGAAAACGGCCGACAGCAATCCTGAACGTCGCTGCACAACGTGACCGCATCAACAGAAGCCTAAGATGGCAGAGCGAGGCCTGACAACCTGAGAGAACAGAGAGCGCGCCGTCCACAACGCGCGGAGGTCCGCACCTTTAGGATGTACTCCACGCCGGCAAAGAGCAGGTAGTCTTTTGCGAGCGCGAGCGCCATATCCTCGCTGGCGATGGCCTTGGGCGTGACGCGGGGGTGGCCGATCAGCTGAGCGCTGCCCCAGATGAACGGCACGAACTGATGGTCGTCCAGGCTCCAGACGCCCTGGCTGCCGGCCGGCTCCATGCGGTAGCGCTGCTGGAGCTGCTGCGCCAGCCGCAGGTACCTGGCGCACAGACGGGCCGGCCGGCCGATGTCACGGCGGCGCTCTCCGCCGGACTCGGCGCTGGCGGAGACCGCCAGACGCTCAGCCGGGGCGGCCGTCCGTGGCCCGTCAAAACACAGAGCCGGCCAGCGGCACGGCATCCTCAGCATGACCTGACGGACAGCTCCAGCGCAGCGGACGCTCGAGGCTGAGCGACCTCAGCCCCATACCTCACTGGCCAGCCACCACCAGCCCCGCCGCCCGTGCCGCCCGCGCCACGGACGACACGGGCGGCGGACACCCGCCCCACTACGACGTAGTGAATCACCTCCCTTCTCAGCGCACAGCATGGGGTGGCCGTACCCCAACGGGAACGGTAACATCGCAACCACAGCAGCGGGGACGGCGCCATCTCAACCACAGCAGCGGGGACGGCGCCATCACCACTACAGCGACGGGGACGGCGCCATCACAACCACAGCAGCGGGGACGGCGCCATCGCAACCACAGCAGCGGGGACGGCGCTGTCGCAACCACAGCAGCGGGGACGGCGCTATCGCAACCACAGCAGCGGGGACGGCGCCATCGCCACTACAGCAGCGGGGACGGCGCCATCACCACTACAGCGGCGGGGACGGCGCCATCGCAACCACAGCCGCGGGGACGGCCCCATCGCAACCACAGCAGCGGGGACGGCGCTATCGCAACCAGAGCAACAGGGACGGCGCCATCGCAACCACAGCAGCGGGGACGGCGCCATCGCCACTACAGCGCCATCACCGCCCAATGCGCTGGGCAGAACGTTATGCTGCGCAACGCTGCAGGCATTTCCCTCAGCTGGCTATGTCAGCACAGGAAGGGTCCTCCGACCTGTCAGCTGCAAGGTGCGGTGGTAAGGGCAGCTGACGCAATTACCTGGGCCCTGATCCTATTGATCTCCCATCTAAACCGGAACACTGATCCGACAAGCAGATACTTTTATCCAGCACGCCGTGGCACGAAATTGCATGACAGGATTCTGATTCCTCAGCGCTGTTAGTACACCACTTCACAGCGGTGTCGGTGTCCACACAGGCTACAAGCTGCGCTTCCGACGTCCTGATCTCATTGCCACTCGAGTTAACAGACCTTGATACAAGCCCCCCCCCCCCCCACGCCCACTGCAAAACGTACGGCCGCGCTCCAGAACTCACACCACTGGAACGCGCCGGCGCGCGCGTCTGTGGAAGATGACGTGTTTTGTGAGAGACGGCGCGGCCAGCGGACGCAGGGCCCGACGCGGCGCCAGATGGCCGGCTCGCCGCTATCGCATCTGCCGGCTACACGCGGGCCCGGCCCGCCACCACGGCCGACTGTGGACGTCGGGGCTCCCCGGCGCGCGGCAGTGGAACGGGCTCGGAACCGCGGGAGACGCGGGGCGGCGTGGGGGTGCCCCACATCGGCGCGTGGCGGGACGTGGGCGAAGATGAGTGTTACAGGGGACCCTAGTGGTAACTGGCCGATACGTTGTTTACACACTGAACTCTGGTGCAACGGGCCGCCGCCGGCGGTACGGTGGTTGCACAACACGGCCATCTATCGCGCTCTGTGTTCTCCAGCGGGCATGCCGTGTAGTGTCCGACACTACCACGGGCCAGTCCCGACATCGGCTCTGCGTGCCCGCTGAAGGCGCTGAGAACAGCTCGCAATGACGACACACACAGCTTTTGGCATTATGACATGCCAGACAGTCTTGAGACGGCGACGCTTCAGTAACGCAGCGAGCGGCAACATAGCCTAAGGAGCCCAAGCTCGGTTGCCGGCAGATGCGTAGTTTGCTGATTCCAGCGCGAAGATCATGAAAACATTTCGATCCCCGTAAATCCAAACTGACTGAAATTGCACTCTCAGATAGCAGCATAGTGAGTTCAAGCAGCATGGGTGGTGACAACGCTGTTCCAGGATAGCAAGAGGACTATGGGTATTTATTGCCTAAGTTCCTGTAACCTCCTAGCCCTGTCTAATTAGCCACAAGGCTTCGCAAACTTCGAACAAATAACATTTTTATTGTCAAAGACCATGCATCTGCCAGAGTTAAGAGTGCTATGTTATAGGCTATATTTTTTTCGGGAACCAAACGTGCCTGTTCCAAACACAGGGGGCAAAGAGCACACCCAGGTGTGTATCTGCAGACCAAAGACCGCATCAATGATGCGTCGCACATCCCGCAGTGTTTCAACCAACGCATTCTGCTGAGAACATGGCGCGACATTCCACCTATTTTACATACCGATGGTGGGGTGAAGATAATTTTTCCACAACCACGTACACATAGAAAATAGTATTTAGGTTCACCTAACGCCCATAGATACGGGTCATAGCCAGAGATTATATACAATGCATGTTTGGCATCCTCACTGCAATCGGCGGAAAACCTGTGACGCCGGGGGACGAAGTGGCGGCAGTAACACCAGCTCAGAAATACTGAGTAAGGGGTCCACATGAGTGAATTATGGGTGCAAAACCAGACTAACTGCGGGCATGGCACGTTCGCCACATTGAAATGAACACATCGTCATTGAACTTGGGAAAGATTGTCCCAGGGGGTGGTGCGGGGCGAGTGGCTTGGCAACACAAGTGTTTTGTAATGCTTTTTTCTTTACAAAAGATGGCAATCGTGGGACGTAAAAGTATAAAAATGGACGCTGGAGAAGGTTAAGAATTTCAAAAAGGGAGGCTTAACGCCACAGTCTGCTTCCGAGAAAATAATCACCATCTCACAATATATTTATAATAGTTATACGACACATCTCCAGAAGCAATATGCAAACTTATCATGCATGTTAATATGTGAAAATACCAGCCTGATCTCACCTCCGCGAAATTTGTTCTCAACGATAAATGAATAACATACATGGGTCATCATAAAGATACGAAGGGTAGTGTCATTTGCAAGAATAGGTGATCATCACGAAGCGTCACAGTACATCCCGACGTCGTGTTCCGCTCCTTCGGGTGCTGGGGTTTTTGTATAGAAGTTTACTTGCACAACAGAATACGTGCCCAATCCCGTGACGACGTTGGAAGCAAAAGGGTCACCGTGAAGCAGACATGACAAACATCTGAGCCTAGGGACCATTGCCTTTCTGTAGCGGACCAGCGAGTGGAGCGAAGTGCGGTGGGAACGCAATGTCACCCAGTTTGCAACACCAACTTTTGTACGCAGAAAAACGACCCTGCGGTGCAGAAAAACTGTCAACCTGGCTCGAAGATGTGCCAGAAAAATGTGTCAGCCTGCCTCGGAGAAGAGTCAACATTTGCCAAAAGGATTTGTCAACCTGCCTTGGAGAGGAGCCAACAAAGCTATCACATTCCTTTAAGATGTGCCAACGTGTCAACCTGCCTCGAAGATGTGTCAACGAAGATATGGTTGCCTGTCTCGAAGATGTGCCAACATGCGTCGAAGATGTGTCAGCAAAGGTGTTTCAACCCGTCCAAGGGGAAACTAAGGGTTTCAAACTGAGATAAACGTTTTCAAAATCATTCAGTGCAGTTCACACATGCCCCTTTTAATACTTAAAAACGTCTCGTATTCGAGCTTAACGCCGGCAAACCTGGGCCTATCACTTCAATGTAACCGATGCATGCATGCCGTCATAAGGACGTCACGCAAACACTGCCACCTCGATCGCCAAGTTGTGCTCAAGGTCAGGAAAAATATGATCAACGAATCATTCGTGTCTGGTGCACCTGTCTGTAGACGTTGCTGGCAAACTAAGCCCCTTGGTGTTGCCTTGGGTAGGCGCGTTGCTAGACTGGAGTTCTAACATCCCTGATTTTGTGCTGGGGTAGCTCCATAACTACAAACAAATGGTTAAGCTGGTCTTGCTAGCTACAGGCTCTTCGTCAAACAGTAGTTGGCTATTACTCGCCGCCTATCGACTGTGCTCACCATCCACACTTCAAAACTAGCCACCAGGTGGCCCCGATAACCAACGTGCCGTCAATCGCTCCCTCCCAGCGCATCACAACGCGGAACCCTACGTCCGCGATCCCGCCACGCCAGACTTGTCACAGGTGGGGGAAAAGCAGGGGTCACGTGCTCTTTCTTTAAGGCAATAAATATTATTTTTATCGACAATATCAGTAATCAGACGCATCATATAGTCCATATGATGCATCTCATCACTGATATTGTATGCATGATATACGATCACTGATAGTCAAACTGATCCACACGAATACTATATGATAAGCACTTTATACATGGCATGAAGCATATAGAGTTCCAGCGCCCCTGATTTTGGGTTGGGGTAGCTCTATTACTAAAAACAAATGGCTCATGTAGTCTTGCTAGCTGCAGACTGTTCGTCAAACAGTAGTTGGTAATTACCGGACGCCTACCGACTTTCCCCACAATCCACACTTCGAAACTAGCCACCAGGTGGGCCTAATAACAGACGTACGGTCAATCGTTGTCTCCCCCAACACATCACAGCGTGGAACTCTGTCGACGATCGCTCCACGCCAGAGTTGTCACAAGTAAGAAAAGGCGGGTTCACGTGCCCTTTCTTTGAGGCAGCAAATATATGTACCAACAATATTAGTAAGCATGATATATATGTACATATATATATATATATATATATATATATATATATATATATATATATATATCATATGCATATCTTATATCTGTACGAAAAATATAATATATGTTTCCATTGTCTTATCTACCTGGATAACGTTCCTCGCATATGCACTGAGCAACTTGCACTGTCACCTTCCTTAAACCGGCAGAAGCTCGCAGAAACTGCGAAAACCAGGACATTCATCTTTATAATTTGGCATACTGCAGCGACACTGTTTTGTTACCCAGCCAAAAGACCAGCGGCAGGGCACTGATACTGCAATATCTACTATGGCTCGTGTGATCCCACAGCGGGCCACTCTGAGACACCAATGCGCTGCATTGCTGCCTTTGTTAACACGTTTATGCAGTCAGAATTTTGGCGTGCATCTTTTCACAACTATTTGAAATTTCAAAGATTGATAGGTCCGGAGTAGGTCAGTTGGTCAATAGTTATCTAGAGGACTAGCCTAGGTTGCCAGATGGTTTGCTGTTTTCATTTGTCTGATTATGAAATTGCACCGAAGATTGGGGTTTTCTCAAAAATACACTGTACATCATTTTCTCATGCTCTTTTTTAGGAGTTCCTTACGGAATACCGCTATAAATAATGCACAAATACCCAGTACCATCAGGTCTGATACCATATGATATAATCATGTCGTTTTTATGAAATGCATTGGCTCACTCTACGAGTGGATTTCGCACTGATGGATTCTGTTACAAGGTCCAGGCAATCTGTCACATGTCAAGACACTTTTCAGGATTTTAACTGAACTCCCTTCATTTATGTAAGAGCAACCTACTTCAGACATCTTTTGAAAAAAAATATACAACGAGCAGCTTCTGCCAGTTATCCTTGCGGATGCCAAAGCAGGAAAGTCGCAAGAGAAGGCCAGTGGCATCGTATCGCCGCTCCACCTTCAGCCAAGAGTTTTGCATCAGATGTGGGAAGAAACTTGGTAAAAATTATCAGGATTTGGGAGAAAATTTGACATTTCCCCTCCACTGAGGAAAACATTACTTACATATCCGTTCTGCAGTGTTCTGAATGTAGGCACAATAATAACACAAATGCTTCACACATAATACACAGGCTATTCCACTGCAGTTACTTGATTAATCTCAACACGCTCACCACCTTTTCTTCTGTATGTAAATGTTCATGCCCCTGCCTGTATTTACCACCAGTAGTTTCTGCGAGCCGTTTTTAGCGACAGAAACAAACCGCCAGAGTCTGTTTCAGTCAGGCGCTGCAAACCCTCACTGGTTGGTTGGTTGGTTGGCAGCTCCATTCGTACATTCCTGGTCACAGCATGAACCACAGCGCGCTACCACTCTCCTGGCACTGAGTCCTACACAGCGCGAGTAGCCTCAACCTAGCACCGGACGCTCCACCAGGAAAACAGCACCAACCCAGCAGCGGGCGCATCACCGGGCAAACAACACCAACCCAGCAGCGGGCGCATCACCGGGCAAACAACACTAGCCCAGCACAAGACGCTTCACCGGGAAAACAGCACCAACCCAGCAGCGGGCGCATCACCGGGCAAACAACACTAGCCCAGCACAAGACGCTTCACCGGGAAAACAGCACCAACCCAGCAGCGGGCGTCTCACCGGGCAAAAAACACTAACCCAGCACCGGACGCCTCACCGGTCAAACAGCACCAATCCGGCACCGGACGCCTCACCGGGCAAACAGCACCAACCCAGCACCGGACGCCTCACCGGTCAAACAGCACCAACCCAGCACCGGACGCTTCACCGGGCAAACAACACTAACCCAGCACAAGACGCTTCACCGGGCAAACAGCACCAACCCAGCAGCGGGCGTCTCACCGGGCGAACAGTACCAGTCCCGCGTCGGCCAGATCCGCCTCGGCCAGCGCCTCCACCTTGAAGAGGGCGCAGAGCAGCATGACGAAGGCGAGCTCATGACCGGTGCCGTAGTCGATGCGGGTGGCGTTACCGACCGACTCGGTGAGATAGACGGCCAGCTCGGGCACGGCGCGGTGCAGACGATCCGGCAGCGCCTCCCGCAGCAGAGACTCGGCTCGCTGCCGCACGAGGGACACCGGTCACCCACAGGACGACCCTCGCTGCTGCACGCTGGGGTGACGACGACCCTCGCTACCGCACGCGGGACACCGGTCGCCCACAGAACGACCCTCGCTGCTGCACGCAGGACACCGGTCACTCGCAGGACGATCGACACCACAGATGTATCGAACCAAAAAAGTGTTATAACTGGCGACAGCGGCTAGGAATAGGCCAGCGTCTTGGATTGAAGCCTTATTCGTGGACCCTGCGCTCCCAGCCGCGTCTGGTCGATCACATACCTCCTCCAGCCTCTGAAAGTACGTCCGGAAGGCTTTGTTGCCGAAGCGCTGCGGCTGCTGGACGGGCGCGATCTCATCCGCCCAGGCTGACATGGTGTCCAGCAACCGCTTCAGCCGCTGGATGGCCTCGCTGCCCGAACTAGGCGGCGGCATCTTCAGGCCCTGCACCGCCGTGTTCACGGCCAGAAGCAGGCCCATCAAGTCCTGTGACAGGTGGCGCATCACGGTTGGGACTCACGGGGGCAAAGGGGCTGGCTGCGAAACTGAGCACACCGAGCCGACACCTGGCAGTGCAGTAGTCTCCGTCGTCGAGCTGAGCACACAGCGCCAGCACCTGGCAGTGCAGGAGTCTACGTCGTCGAACTGAGCACACAGAGACAACACCTGGCAGTGCACGAGCCTCTGTCGTCGAACTGAGCACACAGAGCCAGCACCTGGCAGTGCAGGAGTCTCTGTCGTCGAACTGGGCACACAGAGCCGGCACCTGGCAGTGCAGGAGTCTCTGTCGTCGAACTGAGCACACATAGCCAGCACCTGGCAGTGCAGTAGCCTTCGTCGTCGAACTGAGCACACAGAGCCAGCATCTGGCAGTACAGTAGCCTCCGCCACCGGCACATGAGTTACAGCTGGTTGCACGATCATCAGTCATGTAGTCCTTATGGCATCCCAGGTATACCCAGTTATGACGGGAAATGGGGACTAAAACGGCATCTCCTGGTAGCAGTGGAGGCACCATGACTTGCGTAGGACGGACCACTGACTACGAGTAGATGGGACAAACGCAGTTTTTGCCTCACTGAGTCATGCATAGCCATAGCATTAAAGCGATTGCCGTAGTGAGCTCGGCAAAAAAGTTTTCGAGTCATACACACACACATTTTGGCCAAATCACTCAGTACGTTAGTTACAAGAAGCAATAAGCTATGACTTAGCACACTTCCTTAAATGCCAATACATGATCAGCGGCAGGTCGGTGAACTAGCTCGGCATTTTGCATGGAAGAAAGTGAGAAATTTCAGGCGCCCACGTTTTGAGCAACAGTATCCAACGTATTGTGAATACGCAGATCTCCTAGGTGGACATTGGTCATCGTGCATGAGGCTTGACGCCAGTGTCCTTTTCACGTTTTCATCTCACTTGGCTTAACATGCGCTCGGGTGGGGTCAAATTGACCCTCCAAAAGGCTTTTCCAAACTGATTCCCGGACGGCGCGGCGTACCTCCACTAAAACTTAAATAGCCGTAGAGAACTGAACAGCTGATCTTTTTATGTAAAAACTAGATGTCCCTTGCAAGATTACAGACCTGTGGCAGATCAGTCAGGCCATGGCTGTCAGCGAAGGGCATTCCCAGCGAATCGTTCGATGTGAAGCAATAACGGAATGTTAGGCAAAGCCGTACATATCTGATATAGTTTTCAGGCAACAACCCAACTGAATTTATAATAATAGCCAATTTCATTGACCTAGGGTCAGGTATAAGGGTCAGAACGAAGTCAAAACTAACCTGCTGTTTTACTCGAGGGCTTGGTTTTTTTGGCAGTTTCTGGTACTCATTCCAAATCTATTCATGACAGACCGCAACAGACATGTACCATGTACTCTGGCCTAAAATGACCCGGGCCAACGCTTTGTTTTTAGGAACGCCGAGCGTAATCCCTGCCATTTGAACGAATGGCAAAATAACAGCAACACCGTATGTATTTACTCACGCTGACCCCACAAAGGTCAAAAAAGGTCAGGGACCTCACTGACCTTTTGGTTGGAACGGGCATCTTATTTCACGGCGGTCGCATGACGGGGTCTGGGGGCATCTTAAAACACCAATCTCAAGTTTGACATTGTTTGACATATTTGGACCCAAAGGTACTAACCTAGGGACAGCAAATTTAGACGCAAGTGAATTCAGGCACAGGCCAACCTTCTCCGTAAATTCGGTGTCTCTAGCTATCCTAGTTTTCCAGATGTCTGGGGTTCAAATTGCCCGCCCCCCCCCTCCCCTCTCCGAAAGCGAAGGGCATTCGGGGGGACACCCGGGCGACTGCTAAACGCCAACATGTTGCATTTAAAATCGATTTAGACGAAACGCAACGTACGTCGCTCCCCAAAAGATCAAAGGGAGTGTTTCGCAGTTGAAGAGACTGAAGCAAGCATCAGATATGATGAAACCAGCTCACTTAAAACTATTGGTATATTTTCTAAGTGGAAAAGACTGCTCTAGCCAGCACAATTCTCTTTTTAGTAATACTCCTCAGTGGGTTATGGTTTGAGTACGCCATCGTGCCTGACATAACAGTGATGGAGAGCCAATTGACGGTTGTTATATCTGGAAACCGCTCTCACAAGCGTCATATACGAATGCCTCGACAAAAAATTTTCTTGGCCTTGATCGCCGCGCGGCTCACGGAACGGCAGGATTTGGATGACGTTATTATGTCATAAATGCCAAGGCGACTTGAAATGCCCTCCCAAACATATCTTTCCCCTGTTCGCGAGCGTGTAGCTCAGAAACTAGAGGGGCTTAGGGCTGAAGAAGGGCAGGTTTATGAACAGTACCAAAAGGTCTCCAAGATGACTATTTCGGTTCAAAAACCCCAAATAAATGTGGAACACTCCCTTTAAGGGCCATGGGTCCGAGAGGAAGAGCTATTTTAGACGATACACTGGCCTACACAGTAAAGGTGATTTCCCGCCGTAGCCTGGTCGGACTGCCCAGATCAAGCGTTGCTTAAAAACGCTCCGAATCCGCCTTACTCGTAGTCTAGCTTGAGTGCACGTGCGCAGCCGCACGCATAGATTCGCACTATGCCAGTGGCATTGTCTGTTCTTCTCCGAGTCGCAAGGTGCTGGCTTGTGATTACAGTGGCAAACGTGACCGAGACAGGGACCCGGTTTTCGCCCATCATAATTTAAAGATAACTTTTTCCAGAGGTGGAGAGGAAATAGTCCTGACATCCATTTTCTGGGCCCAGCACGCCCTCTTGCTTATCCCTTTTCGTTCTGAGTGGATATGACAGATCCTGTCATTACAAATCAAATATGGTCACTATATTTGATTATATTACAATACTCCATCTTTCTGCATACATGATGCACGGGCGCTGTTCCATGCACATATCTTAAGCAAACCCAGCTTTAATATGTTTGCCGTATCGACCTAGAATGCCCTACGCGATCAGTTATATCCGGCGATACATCACACAGACTCTAGCCTCAGCTGCAACTGTGCAGTATTTGACGGTAGAAGACTATTACAGTTGGTGCACGTCAGTACACCTCAATAACAAATCGCATGCACTTCTACTGTGAGCAGCACACACAACTCACCTGAAACGCTTCCGACTCAGCCCATTTCTTCAGGTCACTTTGTGTTTTCACTTCTTTTTGAGGAATTTTGAATTCATGAGTGTCTGAAAATCAGAAACACAGAGTAAATATGATTAGTTTGGGCCTTGGGACCAATATGCCGAATCAGACATGTAGTTTTGCTATCTAGGTTGTGAGCAGTTAGTTTGGGCCTTGGGACCAATATACCGAATCAGAAATGTAGTTTCGCTAAGTTGTGACTGGAACACTGTGTAAATCCCTACAGCGAGTTCTGCATATGTCGCTAACTACACATTCCTGGAGCCTACTGAATGTCTGCCCGGCATAGGGACAAAACCAGGCTTTTGACTTTGAGGCCGAATATGCGGCCAGCACAATGACCGACGTCGAGGCGAAGTCCGTCGCTTCGAAGTTCAGAACTGCGAAGCCGAAGCCCCAAACTCAATGGGTTGGCTTTTTTGAAACCATAAAGCTGAGCACATGACAGGTGGCTACAAACTTTAGATAACCAAGGCCATGTCAGCAGCTTTGAACTTTGAACATACAAAGCTGAAGCTGAAAACAAAGGCCCCAAACTTAGGAAACACAAAGCCAAAGCCAAAGCCATCAGTTTAAAATTACAAGGCAGAAGCTGAATTTGGGCCTATGCAGGGCATTGATTTGCAAGGCCAAAATCATTTCCAAGTTTACTAAAACCTAAAATGAGAGAAATAAAGACTTATTTATTGAGATGAGGCCATGGCACTGTGGTTAGCATGTCCTTCAGACTATTGTTACTGTCTTGCTTGTGTGCTCAAAACATATCAGAGTTCCTTTCTTCTCTGGCTGTCATCAGGTACAACTGGTCTTAAAAATGACTGACTGGTTTTCACCTTTCAGTCCAGTGTCCCCGGCAGGCTCACGCCTTGTTACAGTTCTGTTACATTTGGGTGACAGGACTGCCAAAATGGCTTGCATAAAACAAGCTCACAACTTTGTGGACAACACCACCACAACATATCCCAAACCAGTAATTCAAGATCACAGAAAAGTAAGGGCATATCATCACAGCTGAAGCCAAAGCACACAATGCCAAAGAAGAAAGCAACAATGTTTCTAATGATCTGAAGATGAAAGGCCTCATGTGAGGGCACATGAATGTATGTTTAGTTGTTTTGGCATTAACATTCCAGGAGTCTGGAACAGCTCTATGCATTTTGGTGTTTGTGGTGCAGGCGTCATCTATCATGCTTTTTACACATGCTGAACATTTTATTCCCTGATGTTTTAGTTATGAACCAAACTGTGATATCCTAGTTCTCATGGTGACAGAAGATGATTAAGTGACTGATGTATTTCCCAGTTGTGTCATTTACAAGCAGGATATGTGGGAGTTTGGGTCCAGCAATTTGACAGAAGCTGATTAAATCATGTTATATCTCACCATTGACTTAAATCCTTTTGGTACCCTATCTCCAGTTGTGGCCTGTTGCAGTGCAGAATAGTATGTCTCGAGGGTGTGATATTACAGTGTTATTCAAAGATAAAATCTGACCTGGAGCAGGATTACCTCTTTTTGTATGATTCTTAACTTCCATATGGAGGCTACATTTTCACAGCAATACATAAGAGTAAAAGCCTGATGAAAAGTGAAAATTAGCAATTACTCCTCAGTTTGACATACAGAGCTGAAAAGAATCATGTTGATCACCTGCAATGGACTAAGATAGCACATGTAACCCACAATGCAGCTTTGTATTAACCTACCCCAACTTGCACTTACCACAATTAATAGCCATCGCAGAGTCTGGAAGCTTTCAGTTTGCTGTTTCTGTGCACAATGTAGCATACAATATCACTGCCATGTCACGAGGCTGATAGAATATCAAGTAAATAATGTTAACGCAACAGGCACTTAGAGGCACGTACCGCAGTCGCCCTACGCAAGGTGGGTTTACGCATGAACAACACGAGCGACTTCGCAATGGGCGTCGCGCATTTAAACGCGGAAAGTGTGAAGAGCTCTGGGAAATACGTAATCACTCGCAGGTCCACAGCCGTATGAATCGTTAAAACCACAAAATAACAAAATAATATTATTTCATTAACTTGACAATAACAAACGCAAGGGAAGCCGGCACTACATATCCTACATGATCACACAATGCTTTCACCGAGCAATCAACCGCGGGCGTATGCAAAGCTCATAGTTTATCTGAGAACCCCCACCGTGACGTTGCCGCGGAGCGCCTCGACAAACCACAACATTGTAAGCCCATAGGAAAAGGTCTTTTTCAGAGGCAGCCTTTCGGCAGATCGAGAAGGAACAGACGGCTGAAACACTTTCAGCGTTAGGCAAAACGTCTGTTCTCTTGTACGCCAGGTGTACTTTTGGAGCTCAGCGCCTTAGCTTTATATCACAAGTCATTTTGCACAGGTGTTGCACCACCAACCTAGGTGGCGGTACTGGTACCAACACCTGGTTTATAGATGACGCTTAAGTCGTTCGTAGGCCTATGGTACTCATCCAGTTTTCCTAGATGCTTACATCTTGCTTCTCGAGGCGTTCTACGTGTTGGAATGCAAGCTAGCTGGGTTCGAAGTGTTGTATCACCTTGCATGCAAATGCATTTCCTTTATTTTGTTCGGTCGCCAAGGCATATTCTCCGCTCAAATGCCTGGCATTCTGGTCTAAACGTCACATGATGCTTGGTAACTGTATTGGTCACCTACATGTGTGGGCCTGCAAAGTTTGATATTGAATTGAAAATTTGGAAGTCAATTTGGCATGATTAATGTTTTAACCATCTCAAGCTGGCTGAGTATTAAACGCGTGACATCGGCATGCGACATTTCGAACTGACCATCAGCATGACGTGAGCAGGTTGGTGGAAGAATAGCTCGTCCCCGAAAACGACAATTCTGCCCATGTATGAGATGCAGGCCATATGCAGAAAGATTACAACCCCGAACAAACTAATAATTTCAGTGTATACGCTGCGATGTATCGGATGTAAAGCACATGTAGAAGATTAATGCGACACAGATATGCAACGATACACCAGCTAATTATATTTTTACAAAATGCCGGAGGCGGAGGTAGCGGCAATAATACCAAAAGGGTTGTAACAGTGGACAAGCAATGCGTCATGCTAGTCGTATCGAAACACGCAGATGCGCCGGAGCTTTTACTCCTAACCAAATGATAGTAGCGCGATGTAGTCGGGAAGTCGTCACCTGCCTTCTGCGCATCAAAACCATACGTCCCGGAAACGCGCTCACCAGCTCCAGGAAGCATGCCGGGACGTGAAACCTGATCAGCCCGCCCTCTCCATGCTTCCAACCAGCGGAACAGTGAGGAGCGAGTTCGATCGGCCCGAAACTGCCACCGCTGGTTAGATGGGTGCACATTAATTAGTCAGTGTCGGTGCGTCTTTTAAGGCATTTTGAGCACCACTTATCCAAATTTCAGAACCCATCGCAGCACCCTCTCAAAAGGAATTCATTATTTTAAATGGTGATGAATGTCATTTCTTACGATAAATTTTAAACGGATGTAGTAGCTTGAACTCATCTATACCCATGATCAACTATGCAACCGTCAAAAGTTGCGCTGAGTTGTTGATGATAGCATGAGTATCGATAATAACAGTTCAAGTAGCATTTTCCTTTGATTTACCCCCATTAGAAGCATGGCCTGTTAGTGCGCCGAGAACTTGGGGGCTCTGACTTCCCTCACCCAGCCTATGTCAAGTGTTTTGGACACCAATAAAACTAGCATTAGTTTTATATCAAGTTGTTCTTCAATATTCAGGGGTCTCACGATCTGGCCTAAAATTGCGAGGCTTATAACGTTAAGTCTACGCGTTTCAAAACTTGAAAAAGATAAGGTGGGCATTCACAACTGCCTGAAACATGTTAGGCTGAAGTTCAAGGTCAATCAGAGCGAGTCATTTTGATGGAGTTCGAAATGTGTACTCGTAGACCAGTGCCCACGCTTTTTAAAATGTTGAGTTTGGGCATACATCTCGCAAAGCTTTGTATGCCCAACTTGGCTTTTCGGAGTTTGAGATGCATGAGCCAAGCTTGTCAATTTTTAATCTGATTAGGCCGCCCGGAATATCGGTCGACGGTTTGATACAGCTGTGCTGCTAGCTCGACAGCTGTAATTTTGGGGCTAAAAGCATTGGCTGGGACAAAGATGCCGCCACCGTCTTGTTCATCCATTGACATCTGAGCCTAGTTATTCGCATTATCACCCGCACTTGAAATTAACACTTTTCAATATTTTTGCCGTTTCTACGAATGAGCAGGGTACGCCATTCATGCGTCTGAACGCCAGTTCAGGGCTCAACCGTCGCCCTGACTCGCTGTTTTTCATCACACAAACTGATAAGGGGGGGGGGGGGGAGGGAGTCGATGCACCCCCTCATGAAAGATACACAAACGTTTCAACCGTTTTATTCCGAGCATATGGAATCTAGTTTTGTGTGTTTACACCATTAATGTCTAACGTAGGGTTCTGTTACTGTGACAGGTGACGTCCTCGGTGCCACGAACGGCGGCTTTGTCGGTTGCCGCCCGCCGCTCGCCCCGGTCGCCAATTCCCTAAAAAGATCACTTTTCGGAAGCCAGATGCTATGGACACACCTGCACCCAGGACACAGACACACTCAGGAGTGGCAAGCTTTAATCATGAATGAAACGGGCAAGATGATAATAAATGGTCACACGTATCACGTGTCATGACGTTCATGTGCTTAGCCATAGACTTAGCTTTTTTGACGGGTTTACATCTTTTTTGCAATATCTTGGCATCCAGGGCTCGAAGCGACCCGAGAGTAGCGCGCTTCGATAGGGCAATGAATGTATAAGCATGGCCTGCGAAATAGTACCGTCCTAGGTACCACGTGTCACGCGCACATGTGCTGGCAACATTAATTTTTAAGCTTACGCCCATCTTCACGTCTCTCACCACATCTTGGGACAGAGAGTACGAAGCGATTGGTGAGTGTCGTGGGTCAAAAGTAAGTGGAACACACCATTGGGTGGTGCCAAGCTTGTTTACCGTTATACGGACCATGTGTCATGGTGCACATGTGCCGAAAAACTGATTTTGGAAATTTCGACGGATTTAAACTTTTTTGCGACATTTCGGCATCCCGAGCACAAAGCGATTCGAAAGCGATGCGTTTCGATAAGCAATCAAACGGACAATCACACAGCGTGAGATGTGCTGTCGCACGTGCCACGTTCCACGTGCGCACTAGCTGCGAAGGTTCACTTTGCTGATTTCGTCGTTTTTTTACGTTTTACTCCGCATTTCAGCACTCAGTGCAGGTAGCCACACGGGACTGGCATTACCGCGATAAGAAATTAAACGGCCAGTCGTGTGTTTCCGCTTGAGCGTACGCATGGTTTACGTGTCAAGCCTACACGCTCCAGAAAGGCTAGATTTCGTACTTTTTGACGGGTTTAAACGTGTCGTGTCACATCTTCGATAATCGCCCTTGGTACTGCCACCACCAAGGGCACGGAGCCATTGGGAAGCGGTATGCCTTGATAGGGAATTGAACAGACAATCATGTGACATGAGTTGTCATGTCACACGAGCTGTGTGTCACGCGTGCGCAAGCCAGCAAGATGAATTTGACCATTTTCGAGTGTTATTTCCATTTTGCGCCAGCTGCTCGGCTTCGAGCTGCTCGGCACCTAAAGCAGCTCGAAGCGTGAATCCAGCCGCAAAATATAAATCATTTGAAATGCCCCGTGTTTTCAACTGGGCGCAGCGAAGCATGCGTGCAAGCGCTTTTTAAAAACCCACACGCACTCTGATAGTAGCCCATGGTTATGTGAAAATCTCGCTTGAAAATTCCTGACCGTTTAGCCTGCGTAAGATCTCAAAGAATCGGTGCCGGACACACACACACACACACACACACACACACACACACACACACACACACACACACACACACACACACACACACACACACACACACACACACACACACACACACACACACACACACACACACATATATATATTAATCCTTAAGTACAACAGTAGATCAAGAACCGATAGAGCTGAGTGCCAGGGGCTCCGCAAAACCATGGGGCTTACCAAACCATGGATGGCAAGTGCTCCAAACGGGCCCTTTGCCCCTCCCTATCGGACTTGCGCGGGCCATAGCTCCCTCCCGCGCAGTTGTGGAAAGGGGAGGAGGGTGTGTGTATGTGTGTGAAGTGTCACGCGGTTCGAGCTTGGCCCGTGTGAAGCGATGAACCAGCGTGTCAGTATGTGTGAGTTTGTGTTTTGTTTTTTGTAGATACAGGTGACGGTCTGCGTTTCGATGACTTGGAAGTGGAAGCGAGGCTGAAGGAGATTTAGCCAGGCGGTGAAAGGGCGCTCGTGCCTGGCGTGCGATAACATTGTGTTCGAGACCGTTGACGCGCGCTTCGGCACCAGTGCTCGCTTGTTAGCACACGTCGAGGCTGTCTTGATGTCATTGGAGGTGGCCATGTGGAGGCGCAGCGGGCTGGTCATGGCCCCACCGGTCCCGCGTCGAGGCCAGGCACGGCGTACGGGGCGCGACGCCATGCTCCTGAAGATCTCCTGTGGCTATGGCGGTAGTCTGTTGGCTAGTTGGACGGTTCGTCCCTTCTTGCTCCCTTAATTTTCCCAATAGCTCGGGGCGGCCGGACCCTCAAAGAGTCCCATCCAGCACGCATGCACGGTCTCCCTCACCACCACGCAGTCTTCTCCCTACTCGTTTTTCATTGCTTCGCCTGGGTCGATTGACTGGATGGTCTCGCGTGACGTCCGTGCACTTTTAGGCTCCTTTCCGTTAGCCAGTCGTTCCCTTTTCTTCTATCCTTTGTTTATTTTTTGGAGACGCCGACCTGTTGCCGAGCCCCGTCCAACGCGCATGCACGGCCCCCTCACAACCGCGCTGTCTTCTCCCCATTCGATGTTGCTTCACCTAGTTGGATGGACTGGTTGCTCTCGTGTGACGTCGGCGCATTTTTTTTTTAGCTCGTTTTCAGTTAAGTTCGTCGTTCACTTTTCTTCTCTCCCTTTGCTCTTGTTGGGGGGCGCTGAACTCTTGCCAAACCCCGTCCAACGCGGCTGCGCGGACTTCATCACGAGAGCGCTGTCCTCCTTTGCTTCATCCTTCATCCGTCCAGTTGGTAAACTGATTTTGCATGGCATA